AAATCAGCGTATCTGCACGAAATTGCACGTCTGCACGTTGTGCATGGAATAATAATGTTTTAAATTCATGTGCAATCATACAACTTGGTTCCCAAATTATGCCCCCCCCCCCCAAAAAAAAAAGAAAAATAAATAAAAAATAAAAAATTAAAAAATAATAAAAATAAGAGAGTTACTTTTGAAACGGTGACAGAGGAAATTTTTATTTATGTGTTGAAAGGGAAGGAGTTGGGATTGCGAGATGGAATTCAAAGATTCAAAGAGAAACGAAACTTGCAGCCCACAAGACTAGAATGACATTGAGAAAGGATATGCTATGAACATTCACTCTTCCTGGCCGTAATGATAGTTGAAAGAATAATAACCCTGGCTTCAAAATGACAAAGTTCATAACATAGCGTTGCACAATTTCGGATATTTTAACAGAGCGGCACAGACTGTAGATTGTGAGAATCTAACTGTTTAAACCTTTAATGTTATGTTTAAAAGGCTGTCCAAGGATATTCTACTGATTATGCTTGTTACTAATCCCCTTAGTGTTGATTAAGGGCATATTTTTATAAAGGTTAATATGCAAACCTTATTATAATATTTTTCACATTAAGGGTTGTAACACATCACGTTGGGCAATTCGGTCAGGGCACTTTGATTCGCGTTACAACATTAGGAATCTGAGCTCATAGGAACCGGAGTTCGAATTCCAGATTTTTCATTCTTGGTTTGTCTGCACACGTGCCAATGGCATTCGACAAAGTAACTGAGCCATACTTTACTGCAGGTATTCTGTCATATTAGTCTGACTAAACTCTAATGTAACTGGAATAGTGTATGAAAACATAATTATTAAACGCGCCTTACTCACTCATTGATTGAACATATAAGTTACAGTTAAAGCATATTTTCTCTAGAATAATTCATATCAATTATCATGAATAACTGTTTTGCAGCAACAACGTGTTCAGTAATTATCCCAACAGACAAACGCACTTGCAGCACATAAACATGATGGAATCAAAAGTTTTACTGGGTAATCCGATTACAGGACAAGACTTAGGGATTGTTTCTCCAACTGAAAAGTTGTATTTGAGAGATATATTATAGCACAAAACCTGTAGCTCACCTTTATCATTGTGAAACAGATTTAAGGTAAGATAAGAGCACATAACAAGTAGAGACATCCTCACTGATGGTATTTCTCACAAATGACAAGCATACGTTGACTGCGACTAAGAACAAGAGGATTGTGTTTTGAGATCCCTGCTAGTCGTGGTGACATCTTCAGTTTGTGGTTTGCTACATATCCGTTATGTCAATAACCTACCTACCTACCTACTACCCCATACCCCCCCCCCCCCCACACACACACACATGCATGCATGCATGATGCATACATACATACATACATACATACATACATACATACATACATACATACATACATACATACATACATACATACATACATACATACATACATACATACATACATACATACATTTGTATAGCGCCGATATCCATATCCATATCCCTCGATCACTGGATGTCAATCTCAACTTTAGGTGAAACACGCTGGTTCAGATACATTCAATTATTTAATGTCATCATTGTCAACCAACTTCAATTGAACAGAAGGACTTCTAAGTGCCCTGTACATACTTGTTCGCTTTGACGCTGCAGATACAGCATCAGTCATCTCATCTCGTCCTGGCAGGTAGGTAATCTTTGTCTTCACGTTCACAGTGTATACTCTCCCCGGTGTCAGACCTGTGATGGGCGTGGTCCTGCTGTCTCTGCCGACACTGAGTGGAGTAATGTCCCCTGGTGTAACCGTGACCTCGTACCCGGTAACGACGCCGTTAGAAGGGGCTGTCCATGTTGCTGTCATGGTGGTTGTGCTTTGTACGATGGCCGTCACAGTGGTAGGACGAAGTTGGTTGGCTGAATTGACATGAATAGAAACGGAACCCATCAATGTTTCATGAATTTCATCTTGAAGGATTTCACCACTTAGATTCAACAGGACCGACTGTTTGACAAGCATCAGTAAGATTCATTTTACCCATTTCATACAGGTATAAAGTTTCTAACAGACACAATCGAACAAAATGTTTTGCTGTCACATTTAACAACAAAGATCCACATACGGGTATATCTGACAACATGTAATTTACAAAACAAACTTCGTCATTACACAATTCGATATGTGTGAGAATTATGATTTATTCAATCAGCCTGAGGAAGTTAGATGTTTGGTGCAACATTGTCTGGAGTCGTGTCGGGGTGCTCGTATCATTTATTTGCAGATGTTTCTGTAAAGAGATCAGTTGAATAGGGCTGGTGTATGCATGTTAATGTTCAAGGACGTCCACATAATTGCAATTGATAAGTACAGAGTTACATTGCTCCATCTTCGACTTAGAGAGAGACTTCCGATCACGTGCACTGATATGAAGTCACCGAAAATAATTTGGACCGCGCGATTTCGGGTCCACATATTCATGCTTTCGATCCTCAAACTATTGCAAAACAGATAGAAACAGCTCTGTTCCTGAGAGTGTCTGAAAAGTGTATCAGCTCCATTTCGTAATGGAGATACACAATTTATGTCAAGATATTAAATTAACAGATTTCTACCATTTCAGACTATACAAATAAAAGATATACACAGCACATTCAAGCTATTTCATATGAAGATGTGCCGACACTGATTTTATATGGCCGAGACTAACGAGATATCGATATTGTACTGAAGACACGTGACGAACGAATTACGTGTCTCACCGTCTGTTTATTAACCACATGCGTGATAATGGTTTTCAGGAGGAACCAATCAAATTCAAATGATTTTTAAATGAAGTATACGTTGTGACGTTGTGTTTGAAGAACAAACATGAACAATAATTACCTATCCACAGGTCAACATGAATCATCGGTGGACAATACATTTATCTTACTATGCATACCTAACTGCAGTTTGCTGTTGCGACGTATGCATGCCTAATGTCATCCGAATCGATCAAAATACCACTGAGCGGAATTAGAAACGAGCCAGTCACAATCCGAAGTTCACGTGTAAGGTAAGAAGGCAGCCATATTAACCACTTACTGCTGACACAGATTGTGTTTCGATAATATCCCGGATCACAGCGACATCTACCACTGTAACAGTTGGTATTGGCATCGTAACACAAACCAGGTTGTGAGCAGGGTTCATTGTAGCCTGTCCCTGAAATCAGTCAATAGGCTGTTAGTCTGCAATCATGACCCATAATACACGTTCGTGATAACATGAAGGATAAACTAATGCGAGCATGAGAATTTGTTAAAGATGTGATATTGCTAAATGTGTCAGTCTTATATAATGCAAGCTAATAGTTTGTGAATATACACAAGTTGATGTCCGTACATTTCCACATCCCCGAGTTTGACTATGGTGGCCTACGCTCAAATTTTCCTGAACATAAGGAATCACCATTGTATGACAATGATGCTTTCAGAAACACGCTGATGGTGTAGTTGGAATAGTTCTCTGGACTAGATATTTCTAAAGATTATAACAAATTTCAATAGTTTTTGTCGCTAAAGGTTTATGTAATGTTTTCACTTGCACGTTAGGCAATTCAGATAATATTCGATTTTATACCTACTACGTCAATAACTAAAGCGACATATACACTTTCATAACTAGAAAACAATATCCGCCACATTTACGATGTCAACGAAATCCTATGTGAGTGAGTTTAGTTTTACGCCGCATTCGAGTCTGGACCAGACAATCACGTGATCAACAGGAAGCGCATCGATCTGCGCAATTGGGAACCGATGACATGTGTCAACCAAGCCAGCGAGCCTGACCACCCGACAAGCATGGGTTACTGAAGATCAATATTCTAACCTGGACCTTCATTGGTGACTAAATCTTGAGCATGTGGTTGTGAATCACAGTCAGTGAGTAATGATACCTGGTGTTCGTAAAACATGAACATTTCCTGCCCCTGACCTACCCGTGGCGTCGTCACAAACACTAGCAAAGGCAAGTGAAGTGTAAACCTAACAAAAAAGGTAACATGTGGTGCAAGTAAAAACTGAAACTGCAAGAGGAATATTTGGTCACGCATGCATAAATTGTAAATATCCTCCCCCACCAAACGTTTAAAGCATCACTGAAACGTTCACTGTTTAACCGTGGTCAAACTACACCTGAACAAGTATGGCGTGACAACAACACCAAACTACTACGGACCATTGGGACAAACAGTGCTTTGCTACCTGCACGGACCCTAGCTGGATTTACATGAAGCATACATCCTCAGTCAACCCTATATAGACGACATAATGCTTAAACCTAATGAGACTCCGTTATTTTTACACATGACACTGCATGGTGGCAAAATGATAATGGGAATCGTGATTTGGATGTTCGTTTTGAAAATATGTATAGTTGTAAATAGGACGTGGCCTAGATATGGCCGTGTGTCACAAACATATTACACCACATACTAATATTAATATCACAGTTTTGTAAAGACCATAATGAACAAGGGATACTGCGACAGGACATTACCAACACCGAGGACAGTCAAAACTACACACATACACACACACGCGCGCGCGCGCGCACGCAAGCACGCACACACACACACACACACACAATTGAGAAATCAAAGTGTTACAGCTAACAGAATTTGAAACTACATAATAAGACTCACAGCTTAATAACATTCACATGTACCACAATAAAAGTGACAAATTTTGTATTGAATGGATTTTCGTCAGTAGGCATGTAGGAACGATGCGTTTCTAGCTAAAGACTGTTCAAATAAGATTTGAATGCCTAGTTTACAACTTAATAGTCACAAACAAATTTCTGTAAACTATGAAGGTTTTCTATTGAGATTTAACTAAAAATGACTCATCAATGTCAGGTTATGAGTACAAGAAGTGACCTTGCGGGATAAATCTAGAAGCTGGAACTGCTAAAATGCATCAAACGTAGCTACTTGTTGTAAATGTCCTTTGGTCCGAGGTAATCGTCTGACTCCTGCCGTGCTGTGTGATGGTGTGTATAACTGTGACAGTGTATGCTGTTACTGGAGACAGGGACTGGATGTTGTAGCTCTTCCTGGTTGTAGCAGCAGACCCTGGAGACCCTGGAGATCCTGGAGACCACGTTACTGTATAGCTGGATGTGTACCCTCCAGTGACATCGGTACTGGTCCAGCTGATGACAATATTACGTGTTCCTATAGATGGTGCACCTGTGATGACTGGTTTTAGCGGGCTAGCTGAAAGTGCACATATTTTCATTGAAAATTCAAAGCAAACTAACAAAGTCGATAAACCCATCATAGGGGATTAATATTTCAATGTAAAAACAATGAAGGATCTTTTTACAAATGTTAATTATCATTTAATTATTGATTTTTTAAAAGAACTTGATTTGTTTGATGAATATTTGTAAATAGATATATTTTAAAGATTGCTAATTTAGATTAGTAACTTGGATTGTTAGTGTCTGTACCCTAAAAGGGGGTTAAAGTACTGTAAAAGTATTGTCCTCCTGAGAGGGAACGTAAGTCCCAAAACTTTCAAAGTAAAATGTAAATGTACCATATTTTAAACGTAGTATCTTTGTTCTTTTACCTGCCGGCTACATTTTCCTACAATCGCCATCGGCTGAAGGGATGGTGTAAATCCACCTAGGGTCCATGCAGGTAGCAAAAGTAATGTAAGTCCCCATGGTTCCTAGTATGGTGATCTACCTTCAGCTGTTGGCGATCTATAGCCTGTCTTTTATACTGTATTGTCTTCTTTAATTGGAATGTTTTAGCTTTGCTCGCTAGTTTTATATTCATAACTGTGATTCTTTAGTATTTTTACTGTCCATCGTTGACAGGTTGAAAGTATTTTCACTATTTATTTTATAAATTGTTTTCGTCACGATATGGCTGAGATATTGCCGATGTGACGTTACATATTCACTCACTCACTCACTCACTCGTCGATAATCCCTATCGTCAATATACATACATATATTACTGCACATACGTCTGCACGTACACGGTGATTATCCGACTCTTAATCCCTGACCTCCTGATCTCCTTATAGCGTGTGTTGTATTTAAGGTGCTGCTTTCAAAAAGAAGACATGGAATTGAGAACGTACTTCACTTACGAAAGGAGAATATATTTTCGTCTTTACTCAGGAAATATGTGAATACAACATCAAGAGATGGTGACTACCTACTGAGCTGACCCCGATGTTTTAATGATGAATCCAATCACACACTATTCTCTAACCATATCATCCATTTTAATGAAAATAAAATCGACATGATACCCAGTGTTGCCTATCCTCAGAAAACAGGTTACATTTGGTGTAAACGTAGCTTTAAAAGGACCACTGTGAGTGAGTGAGTGAGTGAGTGGTCTCACCAATTGCCAAGGAGGAGAAGAAAACAGGCGGAAAGGGGTTATATTTCCCAAGGAAATGCTGGCAGCAGAAAGAAGAGGTTTGGAGGTGGAACAAGTGAAGATGTTCTATTATAGAGATTCTGACAAAGAGGTTTAAAAACACAATTGTTAGACTCATTAGAATATATGATACCGCAATGTTTCAAAGATGGCGTATCGGCCTCGGTGTAAAGACTACCAATAGGAGAAGTTCGGATAAATCCAAGACAAAATCTGAGACCTTGGTGACGGATAAAATCAAGTAGTTTAAGGCTGCTTTTACAAGCTCAATCACACAAACAGATAGAGCCATAATCAATCGGACCAGTGATCTATATAAGTGTACTCGCCACTTTGAATTGGAAACGACTTTCAACAAATCGAGAGCCTTCAGGCATTTAGCTTTAAATGATAAATGGGAGTCTAATATAACACCCAAAAACTTTGATGTGAGTTCTGGGTCTTTATGCGGCATATATTCTTTGCAGAGGATGTATCTATGGCTCAGCCCGATCATTTTATTACATCCTTGCATCCTGGGTATATATAGTGGAGATTTATCGTAACATATACCCTGGAGATTATCAAGGATGATGTCCCAGTGGCTGGATGTAAATATTGGGATGTCATCATCATAATAGAAGCGACAAAACTCTTTCCAAATTCATATGAAATCTCTGCCAAAAGATTGTACAGATTGTTGATTGTACAATTGTGACTAACTCATGAGCAGATATTTGTTTCAGCTGTATTACAGCTTATGATGTTGTTTGTAAACAAATCGGGTCTGAACCAGACAATCCAGTGATTGTCACCATGCGATACGATGACAGAGCATGTGTTTATGAATCATTATGAAATAGTGATGATACCAGGTGTTCGCGAAACGGTGAGCGTATCCTCCCCCACTGGTGGCACCCGTCATAAACATATGCTAAGTCTAATTTGTTCACCTGAAATAATGTATTATATATAAGTCAAATTGGCAATTGCATCGGACATCAGTTTTGTCACTGATGCGTCAAATTTGGACATTTGTCGACCATAAACCATTTTGAAAGCTTTAGTGACGCAACGAATGCTGTAGCCTTAATCAAACAACTTCTGAGGAAGAGTGGTATGACGCTCTTTGAAATCCTGACAAACAGAGCACGCTCGATTGTACCTCAAAAGTTGTGAAATGTAAATACCAAAGGCTGGACCTGTTGGAAATATTACTAGACATAAAAACAAAGTTGACTATTGGAAAGTTGAAGTCATCCCTTTTGTTATACAGCTATATTTGGAGATTTATTTTAGAAACATAGGTTATACATTCCTCAGGGTTTTCCCTTTATCATTTGCATTGGCACTTCCCCAAAGCGTGTCCGTTAAGATCACCCATGATAATATATGGAAGTGGAATCTGATCTTACAAATTGTGAAGATCTGACTGTCGACTATCAGAAGAAGGAATGTACAAGAGTCAGACAGACAGCAGCAGTTTGAAATTTGAATTAAGAGACACAGGCTTGTGTATGATACCCTTCCGTACTAAATGGAAGCACATACAGGATAAAGGAGGATAACTGACTGACTGAGTATGGTTTTACGCCGCTTTTAGCAATATTCCAGCAACATCACGGCGGGGGACACCAGATATGGGCTTCACACATTGTACCCATTTTGGGATTCGAACCCCGGTCTTCGGCGTGACGAGCCAACGCTTTAACCATTTGGCTACCCCTCCGCCCCTAAAGGAGGATAAAGTGTGTGATAAAACTATACAGTAGTAAATTAAAGGTATCTGTATTTTTACATTTTTGAGTTTTTTACATATATTTTCCCCTGTAATTGTATCTCATTTAAGTCCTCTCTCAGATCTATTCCTCCGTCTGTCCTGTGAGGTCAGGGTAACCTCCATGTCTAGAGGTCCAAATAGGTTCACCAGAGGAACCTCTGAAGGTGAAGGGACGGTAAGTGTCTGTTTCCTATTTTAATTTTGTTCCTTTTTTGTTGACGCTTTGTCAGATGTTTGTGATGGTTAATTTTCAGTCTGAGATCAAGATGAAGACTGAGTGACTCGGGACTTCAGTGGTATCCCTGAAGCTGGAGTAACAAAGGATGTTGCTATAGAGCAAGTGACTGCAGCAGAGTAGGTCATACTTGCAATTGATGGAGTTGAACTTGTGTTACACATGGGCACCGTGGGGTAGCCCTGTGGTTAAAGAGTCTTATCGTCACGCCGAAGACCCGGGTCCGATTCACCACATGGGTACAATGTGTGAAACCCATGGGTCAATTCGAAAACGTATGAGTACCTTTCTTTACCTGTAATATATTTTTGACAATCAGTGCAGTTTTATCACTAAACGTGTTTCTTTTCAGTATGCCGGACAGTGTATGTCAGAAATATATTTGGGGCCAATGACATGGTTAACGTGAAATGCATTTGAGTAAATTGTATTTATTAAATTCATAAAACAATCAATTAGTCTACCGCTATTGATTAAATCGTCATGTGTTATCAAATTGATAGTCTTTTCATATTTGGCCACACTGACTCTGTCAATTCCATTTTCAATTAATTAAAACATTTTCGTAGTTTAATTTGTCATTTATTTTCTAAATACAAATTTTATGCTGCATTTTCAATTCTTTTAATGTAACTATTCCAAATTAAAACTATTTGTTACATATTAATATTTATATTTGTTAGGAACTATTTGATAAATATAATCAATGGAGTCAATTGGCTTTATGCAATGTAGAAAGCATGTGCATAAATACTTTATTTATTAACATAAATAGGGTCGAGGTGCTTCTGTGCTGTAAGTGAAAGATGAAGCAGCACACAGCACTTTCAAGTCACAATTGTCCAACATGTAAGACCAAATACACTCAAATGTACATATATACACTCGCGTTACCTAATTTCGTGGATTACCTTGATTCGTGGATGCTCGTTATTTCCGCGAAATCTCGATACCGAAATCTCGTATGACGTTACATAGCAGTACTTTGGATGTGCACACCTCACACGCTTCGCTGACAAAAAATGTTCAGAATCGCTCCACTACACGTAAGTACAGTCACATTTATGGTCATGCTTACTGTAAATATATCCGAGATCACTAATACAAAATTCAAGTCCATCTAAAATCAAATTACAAAGATACGATAAGCGCCAACATCTTACTGTTTGGCCGTCTGATGTTTACCTATCATGTCAATGGAAATCACGGTACCAAACAGCTGTGATGACAGCTGTCCAAATTTAAAATCTATGGAAATGTTTTGGCCATCTCTTATGCAATTTATTTACTCGTTATAGGGATTGCCGACACCAACACGGCACAATTACAAGAGTTACACCCCAACCGCTCTGACTAATGCCTACCTAGATGTAACAAATAATCACACAGCTGTCCATAAAGCGGCAATTACGTTCTCCATACCGGAACAAACACTCAGAGACCGTGTGAAAGGCAAAATTGATATTGACACTGTCAAGTCAGGTTACGGGTATACGAGGACTGACTGACTGACTGAGTTTCGTTTTACGCCGCTTTTAGCAATATTCCAGCAATATCACGGCGGGGGACACCAGAAATGGGCTTCACTCATTGTACCCAATTGGGGATTCGAACCCGGGTCTTCGGCGTGACGAGCCAACGCTTTAACCACTAGACTACCCCACCGCCCCTGGTATACGAGGAAGGAAGTTATCCCACTGGGTTCCGACTTTGCTTGTCATTTGGGGAAATGGGACCACGCCCATCCCTTGTCCGTCAAGTGGCTGTATGGTTTACTTGGACGATGGCCAGAGATGAAAATCAGAAATGCAAAATCTCTAACCGAGCTCCGTGCCAAGGCTAGTTCTGAGGAATGCGTTACGAAGTATTTCGATGAACTTGGCACCAGTTTTGAAAAGTATGATTTTAAATCAAGACCTGAGGCGATCTATAATGTGGATGAAAAAGGAATAAATCAAGCACATGTCGCACCAAAAATAGTTGGTTCAAGAGACTCTGTGGCGTACGAGATATCATCAGAAAAATCCTCTCTCGTCACACTTTTGGGTCGTGGAAACGCTATAGGAACATTTATCCCACCATTCTTTGTATTCGCTGGCGCTAGAATACACAGCAACTTGCTTGAGGGTTGTCGCCCAGGAAGCAATGGGTCGATGTCCGAATCTGGATGGTCAAATGGTGTAATATTTCAAGACTACTTGGACAGACACTTCTTACTAGACCACTTCTTCTACTGTATGACGGTCACAAGTCACACATATTGCCGTCACTGATCGACTGGGCCAAGGAACATAATATTGTATTATTTGTTCTGCCGGCTCACACTAGTCACATCTTGCAGCCAATGGACGTTGGGTGTTTCGGACCTTTCACTAAGATCTAAAACGCTGAATGCCACAAGTTGTGCCACAAGTCGGGACAGACTGTCAACAGCAATATTGCTTCTGTCGCCTGCAAGGCGTATACAGCTGCGTTGATACCAAGTCATCTTCGTTCAGAAAGTGTGGTATTTACCCATTGTCCCCTGACGTAATTGACAAGTCGGTTTTTCAGCCCGCCGCTTTTATTCATGGGTCACATGATGATGAGAAGAAAACAATGTTGAGGTTGAGGTTGAGATGCCGGCACGTACATGTCAAGCAGACGCTGACCAAACTACTTTCTTTGCTGACCATCATCCCGTTCTACAGAAGAAAAAAACGAAAACCTAGAAAATCAATTTACAAGATCGTCGGCGGTAGAACAATTACGGAACCAGAAGTGGAGAGTGCAGTCAAAGATTGTGTAAAAAAATCTAGCGTCGTGAAATCATCATCAAGCATTAAAGCGCCCAAGAAAGGAACAGAAGTCAAGTAAACCTATTCGAAAGAAATCTGAAGTCATCAGTGACCGTTTACCGGGACCATCGGGTGCTGTTAACCTGCTATACAGCAGTGAAATCGATGAAGACTCACATGTAACAGACGAGGAAAAGTGTTGTGTGTGTGGTCGTTTCCAGCCAGTTGAATTGTCACGATGTACATCTCTGTTCTTTGTCAAGTGGGGACAGTGCATGTTTCATAACTGTGGTCACTGGGTCCACTTACAATTTTCCTGTCCAGTGCGTGTACTTAGGACTCATGACACGTTCTACTGTCCTTGGCATGGTTTACAATGCATTCCATCTGAAGAATAACTTTGACATAAACTTACCTGTACATACTGTACAAAGTTCATTGACAATTTTCATTGGAATCTTGAAATACGAATGATATGGAATTTTAACTATGAACTGTTATTACAACGTCTGCTACAAATCCGGATGAAAGCTTGGTGATCAAAACCCTTTATTCGCAAGAAGTTGGACACTGGGCTTCCATACATTGCTCTCTTATGTAGTCCACGAATCAAGGTGACGTCACGTTTTGTGTGCACTGAAATAGACGATGCTTGCAAATGGCCGCGGAACACAAACAAATCTGCTACAAATCGAAACTCTGGCCATAACAGATTACTTATAACATGTACTTACCTATTATTTATTATGAACATTGAACATGGACAGAGTTATCCGCCGCGAATGGCTTACATCCACAAATCAAGGTAACGCGAGTGTATATATATATACATATACACACTATGTCATGACTATAGATTCTGCTGACACTGACTAATAGCAACATGAGTATGATTACTTGTCATAAAGTGTAGTGTTTTTCTCCTATTTTAGGAACTTATATATCCTAAATATTCTGCCAGTAACGTAATGATCGCCACCTTTGGTAACTGACATTCCATATTTTCCACTATACAGCTGGACCAATATGTTTTAAGATAATGGAAAGTAATAATGTGTACTGGTTATTGTGCTATGAACCAGTGTTGAAATCTTCCAGCAAATACAAACAAAGAATTTAATACTTCAACAAAAACTTCATTTCATTAAGTTTAATTTTCATTGGTAAGCATGTTTTTCATAGGAAGCTGAGGCAGTAGGGTAGCCTTGTGGTTAAACCGTTCACTTGTCACAATGGTTTGATTCCCCACGTGAGTACAAAGTGTAAAGCCCATTTTTGCTACTCCCGCTTGAATATTGCTAAAAGCGGCGTAAAACCATACTCACTTACTAGTTACACATGGATAACAGCCGCCATATAGCTGGAATATTGCTGAGTGCGGCGTAAAAGTAAACTAAAACTCATGGATAACAGCAAACACGTCGTTATCGCCAGAGCAACAAAAGAATATGCTCAGAATTTGACCACCAATCATCAGAAACGTTATGACAATGAGGGACAACAGCATGATCACAACTTCGAATTCTGGAAGAGGTTTTGCGAAGTATTTTCCCAGTGAATTGCTGCGAATTCGGGATTTTTTTCTGAATGGAGACATATTCACGTATGATCCGCAGGCAACAGACATGGGATGAGTTACTGGTAAGGACATTGAACATGCTTGGGATCCTGTACAACTGACCAACATTGTTTGTTGAAACTGACTTGTGGACGTGTCACCGATAGAATTTTAAACGCAAAACGCCAACGCCAGAGAACAACCAACAACCATCTGACGAAGCAGACCTGGAAAAGGTGCATGAGTTAAAGGGAGACCTGTGAAGCAAAAGATGTCCCAAACTGGCCAGAGGAAATAATTGACTACTTGCGGCATGTTTTAACGATTTAAGCCAATTTGACCACTGGACCGGGGATCAAGGACAGTGAACGTTCCCTTTTGACAAGGTTACTTACGTAATCAAATCTCTGTTCTGTGTGTAAAACCTTATAAAGCACATGTAGTTACATGAACCTAAGATCAAGACAGATATGATAGATCTTGACAGCTAAAAGTAGGAACTCAGCAATCGGCAATTAGATACTTACTGTTCATACACAATGCTGAGACTAATGACTTATACATCCCATCTTTACAGAGGCACTTCATGTTTGACGCTGTAGTCTGTATGCACTGAATGTTGGGGTCTGTAGTGTCACATACGGGTTGGTTACTGCATACACCACCAAAGACTTGTTCTGAAAGTAACACGATGACAGGTCAGAACTGTAAGACACATAATTATTAAGTGAGTAGTGATACCTTCCTCTAACGCACATTAAACAGTTACTATACTAAACTAATGAATATAAGGTGTGGATTTGTTTCGTTCAACACCACTTTGAACACTAATCCTGAAACTAATCATTTACCAGCTCAACGTTCCGTTATATTATTTATATAATAGTACCATACACTTAGCTTATATATAACCCCGCTGATATCTGTGTCAGTCATCGGGTTAGTTTTTCTGGTGTCCCCGGCCGTAAGATTGAAGGAATACTGCTAAAATAGCGTAAGCCCGCGTCCATTTACAAGCACCTGCCTGTTTGATTTTAGTACCAACTTAGAATAGTTTTACTGTCAGATGTTGAGTATTTCTGATGAATGATAAAGTTAATCTCTAGTCAAGTTGTCTAACTTAGCTACTTGTTTAAATGTCCTTGGATCCGAGATAATCGTCTGACAACTTAATAGTCACAAACAAATTTCTGTAAATTATGAAGCTTTTCTATTGAGATTTAACTAAAAATGACACATCAATGTCAGGTTATGAGTACAAGAAGTGACCTTGCGGGATAAATCTAGAAGCTGGAACTGCTAGAATGCATCAAACTAAGCTACTTGTTGTAAATGTCCTTTGTTCCGAGGTAATCGTTTGATTCCTGCCGTGCTGTGTGATGGTGTATATAACTGTGACAGTGTATGTTGTTCCTGGAGACAGAGACTGGATGTTGTAGCTCTTCTGGGCTGTAGCAACAGATCCTGGAGATCCTGGAGACCACGTTACTGTATAGCTGGATGTGTACCCTCCAGTGACATCGGTACTGGTCCAGCTCATGCCAATATTACCTGTTCCTATAGTTGGTATGGCTCTGATGACTGGTTTTAGAACAGTTGCTGAAAGCATGCATATCAACACTGATAAGTGAACGTGTGAAACTAATTTGACGATAATTATCATCATCTTGAGTATTGTGTATCAAGGAATATAAATGTGGGCCTTAGAGTAGTGATGGCATATGTATTTCGTGTATATACTTTGGTTTGAGATACATATGCTTTGGTTAGTAGGTTTTCTGAAAATATACATGCTCACGTAAATGGATGTCTTGCTCAAGCGAATGACTCTTGATTTTACATACATGTGATAAAACTTCACCAATGAAACTGCCAATTTATCGTTCGTTCCAAACCCCCCATAATTGAATTACCACATCATGTAAATGAAGTGTTTATCTACAAATATTATTGATGAATCCAATCATAAAGAAACTAAATCTCAAAATTTACCCTTCGAAATTCGCAATTTTGATTTTCCTAAACGGTACTCCAGTGAGTACATATATTTGATTGCTACGTGTTTACGATGTGTATTCTTATTAGTAAGTGATTACAATACTGAATAAACTTTATGGATAACAACTTGATTGCAACGTTTCGAACCAGTTTCTTGTACTGTTGTCAAGCAGGTACCATTCCTTCCCTGTGTAATCCAACTGGAGTACCATGCAGGCAGCAGACGTAGAAAGTATCTAGTGCGGTGACCTAGCTTTGGTTGCTGGTGATCTGTAGCCTTTTTATGTATTTGTGCAGTGATACATGTTAACGTACTAGTTTTAAAATGATTCTGTGGTAATCTAGGTTTTTTTACTGAAATTTGTCAACAGCTTTGATGTAGTCGGAATGTATTTAGTTCAAGGTGAGGTGAGGTGAAATTGGGTTTGTTGTCGTGCTTGAGAATATTTCGCTCATATGACGACGTGCATGCGTGTGTGTATGTGCGGCTGCTTGTACTAGCCCTGACTGAAGTAGGTTTTATAGTGCTAGCCCACTGAGATACCATGCCGCAGTGAAGTATGAATATCTCACACAGACACATTATACTGACTCCGAGCCAACCAGTCCTTGTTGTACCCATATATGCCGAGCGCCAGGCAGGGACCAACAAGTACCATATTTTAACGTCTTTTGGTATGACGCGGTCGGGGATCGAACCCGCGACCTTCCGCTCTCCGGGCAGACGCTCTAACCACTATACCACGGAGGCGGTCATTTAGTTTACGAATAAAATTTATAGTCACAATATGGCTGAAATACTGACAAAGTGACTTTACACCTATACACTCAGATGGCAATAGCATGCCTGTTCCTTCTGACAGGAATACATTTTCACAGAGCAACAACAACTTCGGCGTTATTTTTAGATATGGCCACCGATTATCCTCTGCGTCATGCTCGTTTGAGAACAGAACAGTGTTTAAATTAAGAACTATTTCTGACGAGAACCTATCACTTTCATCTATGTCATTTTCATAAACATTCTCACAACAAATATTGCACTGATTTGGTGGCTGATTGTATGTTAAACATTTACATGGGAAGAGGTGAAGCCTTCAGTCTACACTCAATAAAGAGAACAGAGAGATTGAAACGACAGTAACTTTTGGGAAAAGATCAGCAAAGAAGTGTTTTAATTCATTCACGTGTCATCGAAAGGATCCAGTACCTAAAGGTATGGGCTTTGTTAACCATATGAAGGGAAAATCCTAACTGTTATACCTACTTGCAGCGCAAAATGTTGCATATGGCCTATATCGTCCATTCTTACAGAGGCACCTCTTGTCTGGTCCAGCTTGTATACACACGATGTTGGAGTCTGAGGTTGTGTCACACTGGGATGTCTCAGTACAAACATCTCCGAAGTTTTGTTCTGAAATGTTCCATTACATACAGCACATACAGGTGTGACTTGTCAGCAAAATCCATGACACAAACAACAGACAGTATTAAACTAAAAAATATCAAATCATAATAAACCAGAATTCGATTGTACATGCGACATAGGATTGCAGAAATTCTAATGTTAGAATATGAAAATTATCTTGAATATATATTGAACAGTTCTTTGTTTGAAACAAATATTTTTTTTCAAATAAGTCGTGTATGTCGTGAAACATGTTTGATTAAAATGTAATCTTCCCATTAATGTACGAGACCCAGTTCAATTATATATACTCCTCACAAAAAGTTAAGCAACATATTTTTTGGTCTCATTTTCATTTATTGAAATTGCAAATCATTGATAAAGGTGAAACGTATGTACACATGATAAACAAACTGATATGAAATGTTAGTGTGCAATAATATACTTACAAATCATCAAACTCATGTACCCGTGAAACAGTCGTGCAAAATGTGCTGCATTGATGGAGAAAAATGTTAACAGTAAAGTACAAGTCAGTTTTGGACAGTGAAGCCGTGTTCAGTAACGCGTATGACCACCATGGGCACGAATGAAAGCTTCTACACGTCTTGACATTGACCAAATGAGTCTGTCGAGTTTCTGTTGTGGAATGTTCTGCCATTCTCTCCTTAACGACTGCTCAAATTCATCCAGAGTCTGGGGGCGAATATGGAGACCGTAAACACTTCCAATAATGTCCCAAGCATGTTCAATGGGATTAAGATCAGGCGACCATGCAAGCCAGTCCATATGTATCATGTTGTTGATCTAAACAACATCATTAACAACTCTTTCTTGATGTGGACGGCATTATCATCCATAAAAATGAAGTAAGGACCTGCTTGTTGTGCCAGGGGAGGTTTACCTTTCAGTAACATGTCGTCAAAAATCGCTTTCGAGATTGATAAAAATATTACACTGAAAATACTTGTTGCTTAATCTATTTATGAGGAGTATGATTATGCAAATTCAAATCGCTGTAACATATCTGACACGTGACGTGATGTATCTTATTATTAGAGGACAAGTGTACGGTATAAAATACAGATTTATATATAGCTAGCTAGGTATGTAAGTAAGTACAAATAGGTAGGAAACATACACACAAAAACCCGAACACGAGGACACACACACAGAAACAAGTTATTGTAGGAGGGAAGAGTGCAAACTTTAGGGTGTTTGGGTTAGATACACAGGTAGGCAGGTACAGAGGATAGAAGGGAAAAGCACGGTAGGAATGGTAAGGAGTAACGTTCTTTGTTGGAAACATGTACAAAATTGTCCATAGGTCAGCTCACTTGATTTTGAATAGCTACATTCTGTCAAGATAATTATTGGTGTGCTCTCACTTGAAAATCGACTATATTTAATAAAAGAAGATTCTAGAGGCACTACCAGTTGAATTTTAAGTTACGGACTAGAATTTGAACGCAGGCGTTATCAAATCTAGTTTGAGGAGGCTAAACTCTAAGGTCTGAAACATTACTCTGAGTGCAGGTGTCGTTGGCTGCGTCGTAGTAGTGAGTGTAATCACATGCACAGATGCCGGATCCATTACACACTGCATTGGTGGTATTACACTGTGTCATGGTATCACAGCTAGCTCCGTATTCCACTTCTGAAATTAAACATGCGTATACAATACAATATACATTACGTTTTGCATTTGCTCTGAATATCATGCCAGGCTGATTTATTTCAAAGTATATATCTCCTTCTTTTTGTTGCTCTAACTATGGCTGATAAGTTGTCGAGGTGACAAACTTTCAACACACACAGAGAGCTAATAGGCTATATATTCATTCTACATATTTAGTCATTACTTGTTAAAGATGAACTGGAAAATGTAGCATAGTTTGTAAATAGAGTATTCCGAGACAAATGTCTCAATATGAAACTAAAAACCTAAACCCCAGAAAACAAAAGAAACAAAAATACTCCAGTTAAGTGGCAAATCTAATAATAGAACATTTACTATGTTGTGTGCTAAGAACAAAAACCCACGCTTGGTATCACGAGGGAGAGGGTGATGTAACAACTCATTTAACGTTGTCCATTTTGGTTGAAGCCACTATCGGCGTACATACATGCGATGAAACATTACCTTGAGTGCAGGTGCCACTGGCTGCGTCGTAGTAGTGAGTGTCAGCACATGCACAGATGCCGAATCCATTACAAATTGCATTGGTGGTATTACACTGTGTAATGGTATAACAGTTTCCTCCGTAAATCACTTCTGAAATTAAACATGTGTATACAATACAATATGAATCATTGTTTTTACTCTCATGAATATCATGACAGGCTGATATAGAGTATTCCGAGACAAATGTCTCAAATATGAAACTAAAAACCTAAACCCCAGAAAACAAAAGAAACTAAAATTCTCCAGTTAGGTGAGTAGGAAAATGAATGGTTTCCAGAGTGAAACGACAAACATGGGTTCGTTGTTGTCTTAGCTGACTAAAATCATTTGCAAGTATTGAATAACTAGTATCTATGATGACTGGCATAACATCTGGAGTGAAGTCTAACTGGGTGATGTATTACTAGATACCAAAGACATACCACTCACTATTAACTGCATAAATAATAATGAATATACATCTAGTTGCAGTAGAGCCATACAGGGTGCAATTCAAGTATTCTTTGGTCATTTACTAGTTCCTTTATCGGTACACCCACCGGATACATACCAGCCATATTGTTTAGTGTCATGTCACCCTCACCCTAACGCTAACCCTAAACCTTACCCTAACCCTAGCCCTAACCCTAAACCTTACCCTAACCCTAACCCTAACCCTAAGTAAACTCGCCTGCTTTCAATGATGGCGGAAAGTATCCGCTATTCTGTAGTCGTACCCCTTTATCTACTAAAACTATCATCAAAACAAAAACCCACGCTTGGTATCACGAGGGAGAGGGTGATGTAACAACACATTTAACGTTGTCCATTTTGGTTGAAGCCACTATCGGCGTTGATACATGCGATGATGGGGTGGTTGAGATTATGGAAAACAGCATTGAGGCACCTGTCCGCCAAAGACTGCCCCAACTGAACTAGCGTTACCGAATCTTCCTAATTATGTTGTAGGTGTTAGAACATTCCACATATGTCCTGTGGGTAGAGGCCTGCAGAAACTGACCAGGGCAGTCAAGAATTGCTTCACTGTAGTTGATGCGAACCAAATCAAGGATTTGTCATACAAAGTACTGAAGGAACATGTACCATGAAAGGCTGAAGTAACCCTACATTCTATCGTTATTGCCCTTCAGTAATCCGTAGTTGTTTTGTGCTTGATTATACAGTTTACTTGACGAACAGTTAGGTCGTTTTGAAGAACGTTCTAGTGACCGATCAAAAACCCTGTATTGCCACTTTGAATGATACATTTGAACCTAATAAAGGCAAATCTAATAATACAACATTTACTTTGTTGTGTGCTAAGAAAGATAAAGTGCATGGAGCTACCGATGATAGAAGAAATACCCTTTGTACAAGTAAGGTGGAAAGCAAGGTAGTCTGTCTCCCTGTCCCTGAACCACACTATTTTCCCTACAGCCTAAGCCCTTCCTGCAATGCTAAAGCCCTAAATGAAGCAAGTCTCAGGTCTCCCTTTTCAATTTAAATGGGTTTATTTGTTACAATAAAAATTACATGATATTGTATATATATTGAGAGACTAAGCGTTAGTCTAGGTGATCAGAGTCGGAGACTGAAACTGTTAGGCGGATGTTACCAAGGCTAATCACTAAGGTCTGAAACATTACCTTGAGTGCAGGTGTCGCTGGCTGCGTCGTAGTAGTGAGTGTCAGCACATTCACAGATGCCGGACCAATTACAACTTGCATTGGTGGTTTTACACTGTGTAATGGCATAACAGTTTCCCCCGTAAATCACTTCTGAAATTAAACATGTGTATACAATACAATATGAATCATTAGTTTTACTCTCATGAATATCATGACAGACTGATATACTTAACACTACATGTTCCCCGAGCTCCTTTTGCTGCCACGCTACGGCTGATATGTTACCGAGGTGACTTTAACTTTCAACTCACACAGGGAGCTAAAGGCTGTGTATTCATTCTGAATATATAGTCATTACTTCGGAAAGATGAACTGGAAAATGTAGCATATTTTGTAAATAGAGTATTCCGAGACAAATGTCTGACACAAATAATAGACAACACAGAACTAAAAGAAGATGAACTGGAAAAGGTAATATATTTTGTAAATAGAGTTTTCTTAGACAAATGTCTGAAACGCAAAACAAAAGCCCTAAACATAAATTCCACAAATTTAAAGAAAAAACAAAATACTCAAATTAAGCGAGTAGGTAAATGTATACCGTATCTGAAGTGGAACGAAAAACAAGGGTTAGTTGTTGTTTTAAGCTAAATAAATAGCTAGTATCTATGGTTAATGGCAGAAAATCTGGAGTCAGCACATACACATGCCCTATAAAATACAAATTGCATTGATGGCATTACACTGTTTAATGTTGTCAAAGTTAGATCGTATTCCAAATTTGAACTTGAACATGTGTATAGTATATAAATCATGTTTATTATTCTCATGCATATCATGACAGCCTTATGTACTTCACAGTATATATGTCCTTCTTTCGTTGCTCACACTGTGGCTGATATGTTGCCGAGGTGACTTTTACTTTTTTACTCGCACAGTTAAAACCTAGTTTTATATGTTCACATGTGCACAAAATATATTCAGTATAATGTATATTCAGTCTTTCCAGACAAATATTATTAAAAAGTATGACAAAGTCGGTGAAGTCCTGTCGTTGTCTTCTCACATGTTCTCACATAGATTTTGACGTTTTTGGCAAGGCAATTGCAATGCTTGAGGATGATTCGTAAAAGAAACCATAAAAGACGATCATTCCAATATGGAGTTTTTATTTTTGGCGGAAGTATCCTCACAACAGAAGGCTTATTGGTAAACAAACACATTAGGGTGAGAATATCAATGAATATCAATCAGAGTTTTGTGGGTTCGGAACTTATCTTATCACATATAAACATGTGTTGAATATTTTAGAAGGTGTGTGCTAGTTTTCATCGGTATCTGTAGTCGTATTTTGAAGCATCATGCGTTTCTATACTACACTCAGCAGGAACATCCTAGTAGTGTTTTGAAGCATCATGCGTTTCTATACTACACTCAGCAGGAACATCCTAGTAGTGTTTTGAAACATCATACGTTTCTTTACTACACTCAGCAGGAACATCCTAGTAGTGTTTTGAAACATCATACGTTTCTTTACTACACTCAGCAGGAACATCCTAGTAGTGTTTTGAAACATCATACGTTTCTATACTACACTCAGCAGGAACATCCTAGTAGTGTTTTGAAACATCATACGTTTCTATACCACACTCAACAGGTACATCCTAGTAGTGTTTTGAAACATCATACGTTTCTATACTACACTCAGCAGGAACATCCTAGTAGTGTTTTGAAACATCATACGTTTCTATACTACACTCAGCAGGAACATCCTAGTAGTGTTTTGAAACATCATACGTTTCTATACCACACTCAACAGGTACATCCTAGTAGTGTTTTGAAACATCATACGTTTCTATACCACACTCAACAGGTACATCCTAGTAGTGTTTTGAAACATCATACGTTTCTATACCACACTCAACAGGTACATCCTAGTAGTGTTTTGAAAGCATCATACGTTTCTATACCACACTCAACAGGTACATCCTAGTAGTGTTTTGAAACATCATACGTTTCTATACCACACTCAACAGGTACATCCTAGTAGTGTTTTGAAACATCATACGTTTCTATACCACACTCAACAGGTACATCCTAGTAGTGTTTTGAAGCATCATACGTTTCTATACCACACTCAACAGGTACATCCTAGTAGTGTTTTGAAACATCATACGTTTCTATACTACACTCAGCAGGAACATCCTAGTAGTGTCTGGAAACATTATACGTTTCTATACCACACTCAACAGGTACATCCTAGTAGTGTTTTGAAACATCATACGTTTCTATACTACACTCAGCAGGAACATCCTAGTAGTGTTTAGAAACATCATACGTTTCTATACTACACTCCGCTGGACCATCGTAGTAGTGTTTTGAAGCATCATACGTTTCTATACCACACTCAGCAGGAACATCCTAGTAGTGTTTTGAAGCATCATACGTTTCTATACTACACTCCGCTGGACCATCCTAGTAGTGTTTTGAAGCATCATACGTTTCTATACTACACTCAGCAGGAACATCCTAGTTATATTAATAGGTTTACACAGTAATGGGATGTCAGTGGACATAATGGTCAAGTGAAAAATCGTTCTCCTGGGAGCCTGTTTATGTGACAGTTTGGTATCAATTCCATTGATGCAACAACCAATATGTTTGTCTATACGTTTACAACCAGTACGTCATGACTGTTGGCATGATGTAGATAACGTCTCAAGACGAGGCTCGGACGCTAGAAACGTTTGGCGATCTGGTACAGACTTGATGTTATATCAATCACATTGTACGTTACAAAAATACATTTAATAAGCGCAAAAACACATAGCAGGTGTAACCTGTGAGCCAGATGAATTGTGAATCATTGTATGGCCTCATCAAACAGGGGCAGCATTTGACGTCTTAGTTAACGACATGCTGCGTAAACCTCGACATAAAATATAGACATACGAATTTTTTAAACTTCAAAATTAAAATTACTTTGTAAATACCAATTTTTTATGAAACCATAAATTGAAATGCAGTGTAACCATAGTTGTTTGTAGTGTCTCGTTTCACTTCACACGAGAAAATTCGTATCGACTGAAAAGTAGGTCATTGTCTGATTTGGTAAATGAGACTCATGTTTCGGTTTGCTTAATATTTTGCAGTTAATTGTGTGAATTTATCCAGTTAAGTATAACATACTGCTGTTACTCGAAATTTCTTATTCCACATGAGATGGGATGAGATGAAATTGGGTTTAACGTCGAGCTTAAGAATATTTCGCTCATATGACGTAGTGAATGCGTGTATATGTGTGGCTACTTGTACTAGCCCAGACTTAAGCTGGTTTTATAGTGCTAGCTCAATGAGATACCACGCTGCAGTTAAGCATGAATGCCCCTTTCAGAAACATTTCTCCGAGCCGACTAATGCTTGTACCCATTAATCACTGTACCTAAGGTGATGCTGGTAACGCACGTTACCAGCATCCCAACATGGCGGCAGGTAAGATCGCTTGGCGATTATTCCCCTCGAATTAGCAGTCTTCCACGTGTATACAATCAACATTATTTAGCACACTGATAAACTTTGATGGTGTGAATGCATTGAATGCACTGAATTTGCTTATTAATGTCTATGTGTTGAAGAATAAGGATTTTAAAAATCGCACGACGATGTCGGTAACTCAAAGTCTGGATGTTGGTAACGTGCTATGAATGATGCTGGTAACGCACACTGTGTTGCTTTAGTCGGTAAAGAGAAATTGTCGAGTTATGTTTCAATACAAAGGAGATACAAATATCAGTTCGTTTCTTTTACACAGATGTGTACTGCTGTTAACAGTATGAGCAACTTTTTTGTGTGCGCTGGTATAACGTGCGTTACCAGCGTCACCTTAGGTACAGTGATTAATGCCGAGCGCCAGGCAGGAACCAACAAGTCCCATACATGTATTTTAATGACTTTTGGTATGACGCGGCCGGGGATCGAACCAGCGACCTTTGGCTCTCCGGGCGGACGCTCTAACCACTACACCACGGAGGCGGTCAGTGTTCTATGAAGAGAGTCACATCAATATATAGATTTATCTTACCCCGCACATTAATGTCCTTTTCTGATTGGTTGAGCACTCTTCTATTTCCAATGTACCCTGCTTACAAGCGAGTAACATTTCCTATGTTACCCAATGGGAATTCCGAACTGTGGGACTTCATTTGGTACTTCGTGTGAGTAATTCTTTAACTCGATTAATTGAGTCACATATGATGTATTGAAATTACTGATGCAAATCGATGGAAGGGAGATAACTCTAAATGTGTTTTTCTTCTCGCCTGTCGTTGTTGGCATTGAATAATTGCCAAACTCTGGTACTCCTTATAATGAACTAATACCATTGCTTCAAACAGTTCAAAATTAACATTGAGGTGTTCGGTCAACTCTACCGAAGGCATGAAAGAGCTGCCAGGAATTGCTGAAATGCATGTGTGAAAAATGTTCAAACCGGTCCAAATGCGTAAAGCTCTTGAATGCGCAAATGTGGAGGAGACTGTAATTGATTTTCTGATTCAGTCAAGCTAGATACAATTACACTCAAGACATGATTGAGTAACCTGCCACAGATTGATGATATTGCTACTTTGACACTGATGTTGAAATCAAACATGGTTGCATTGATTTTGACATGTTTTTATAGGTAATACATAGCCAACCAAGCTCATATATTATACATGTAATTAAATCTAATGATATACTTCTTCAAATAAATTTTCATCTGTTCTCACAATATTCTTGATGCATATATTATTAGGATTTAGAATTGAGTTAAGATAACATTTTTGGAATTTGTTTTGCTTTTCTCCACTCCCCCCCCCCCATAAAAAAAATGAAAATTGGCTAAAATCTGCAAAGAAATGACAAAACAATGCTTGATTATGGGATCATCTCAAACTTATTTTACTGATGTAGTCCATATGGAGGCCATTTCGAAAAATGGAGCATTGGATAATTTAACAAGTTAAGTTACGGTGAAAATAGTAGATTTTTTATACCATTTCCCCCAAATTCGCGTATTAGTGTTTAGTAATTTTGTGAGCCGATTGTAACAGATCTATAGTTTTCTGGTTTATTTGGATCACCATTTTGTTTGTGGATTGACATTATTACTCCATTTAATCAGCTTTCTGGGAAATTCGCGGTGTCTAAAAAGTTAAATAGTTTTACATATATACTGAACAACAAAAGAAACGCAAGTTTCGAAAAAAATAAATCTCATAAAAGTAAGCATTCATGTTCATGGAACGTTCATGGTAAAGTGTCCCCCGCCGTGATATTGCTGGATTATTGCTCAAAGCAGCGTAAAACCAAACTCACTTACTCACTCATGGTAAAGTGACGTAATGATCCCAGATGAGATGATGCCATCTGTTTTGACGTCCATACGAAACATTCGCACAAACACACGCACAGTTCAGCAAAACCATAATTTTAGCACGTGCATCGACGGTTCTGGATGGAAAGCGTGCATTTCACTCTGATATATACTTTATAAAGGTTTGTGTATAGAAAAACCAGTTCAGTATTTACGCTAGGAGGTGTACACGATGCCTAGACAATGACTGAGCAGAGGGGAGTGGCCATTGGAAAGTTGCACGGAGATAGCTCTGCAACCGCTGTAGCTGGACAATTTGGCTGTCATCTTACCACCATTACACGACTTGCTCAACGTCATCAGCAAACCGGGATGGCTGCCGATCGTCCCCGTACCGGACGGCCACGAGTAACAACTCATGTGCAAGATAGATGAGTAACCCGGATAAACCTAAGGAACCGATCTCAAGCAGCAACAGTGACAGCAACCTCAGTTCATGTGTCAAGGGGAGCAGTGTCCAGCGATATGATTAGGCGTCGTCTTCGGGCTGCTGGAACCATTGCCGACGGCCATGTGTGGAGTCAATTTCGACACGTCAACAACGCCAGCGAGGTTTACAGCCCTCACACAGCAAGGCTGTCGATGGATCATTTGGCACAGAACAACAATTACGTTCTTCCATGGCCGTCTCTTTCCCCAGATATGGCTCCCATTGAACATTCTGGGACGAAGTTGAACGGAGGATCGCTGCAGGTAGACAGTCACTCACACTTGCACAGTTGGAACACAGATTGGTATTTAAGTGATACCACTTGCCTCAGGCATTCTTTCAGACTCTAGTTAACTCAATGAGGCGGCGTTGCACGGCCTGTGTGTAAGCTCAAGGTGACTATACGCGCTACTAAAGAAACTGACACTTTTCGCAGGGGTATCTCCATTTGACGGACTGTGACCAATTTGAACTTATTGCAACTCAAAGTCAACAGCAACTTTCAGCTATTACATTGACAGTGTTTACCATAGAATAAATGATCAGACATAATTTTTGTTGTCTTCTATTTAAAAACTTGACAAAAAGCCAGACTCGCGTCTTTTTTGCTGTTCAGTAAAATTTGTTTCAAGGGTTCCAGAAAAGTATATCCGTGTGAATTAACTTTGCCTTTGCCCTGACTAAATATCAAGCGAGATATCAGCTGATTCCAGTTTTTCAGCATCGTTAATGAAATCACATATTTCATCAGGTAATACATATTCGTTAACAATATCATACACGACAGTAAAGTAGTCTCACAAAACACCTGTTCGTGACTTCATGTCACCAACAATTAGAATGTTTTTAGATTAAGTTGATAGTACAGAATATACGTGCGAGAAAGTTTCGTCTGTGTACAAATGCTATACAGATATGGTCAATTCGATGTTTGAATTTTTTATCAAATTTGTCAGAATGTTTTTACGCTAAATCCGCACAACCACTAACATCTATAAGTCACAAAGTTCGTCAAGAGCCGTGCTATAGGTAGAATCAAGGGCGGAAGGAAGACGACATGCAATCACATCCATGTCGGCGGCACTTGGGCGAGTTAACTTAACAGCAATACAAACCTTAGCAGACGGACTTACACACTGTGTTCTCCACTTTGAGTGTTCTGCAGAATAACTTTACCACCAAAAACTCTTGTGCACCTGGCTACATCATCACATATTTAGGACAGACGTCTGCAGCATTTCAGATCTTTCAGACTTTGAATATTGTTTGTTTTCAACCAATGTGTTCTTGTACAGCAACGACGACGATATAGTCCGGCATAAGAGAGTTGATTTCTTGGGTCCGAAGCAACACACCACCAAAGTTGACTTGCACAGTGGATGTTTCAGAATTATCGGAGTAAGTCCATTTCTTCATGAGACGGACATACGTTACATACACATGACGTTTGGACATTATTAAGTTGTTCACTGGTCTCGAGGGTGACATGGACTGATGTACCCTCGATGTTTGTTTATGTTCCCTGAGCACGAAGGGCGAGGTGAACACAAAGACACATCGAGGGTACATCAATCCATGGGCCCCGAGGGACCAGTGAACAACGTATTTATCTTACCGAACACCTCAAAGGTAATTTTGAACTGTTTAAAGCACGGGTATCGGATTATAGCATGGAGTACCAGACAAGAAAAACAAATTTAGAGTTATCTCCCTTCCATCGATTTGCATTCGCAAAACATCGGTAATTTCCGTACTCATATGTGATTCAATGTTATTCGAGATAAAGAATTACTACTACGAAGTAACTAATGAGTTCGGCATTCCCAGCGGGGTACATAGAAAATGTTACTCGCATGTTGGTTGGGTACATTGAAAATAATAGAAGAGCGCTCAGCCAATCAGATAACGACATTTATGTGTGAGGCAAGACAAAATTGGATATGACGGTCTTCAGTTCCTCAAAGGACTTTTCTCCCTTTGAATAGACAGAACAATCCGCTTCGTTCGAATACACGATACACCTTCCATGGTGTTTTTAGCTTTGTTGAGTTAGTGTGGTCGACGCAAGCCCTCTGATTAGTCAACGCTTGTAAATCTGCATATTCTTTATGACTTCACTTAAAACTTTCCTTTCATCGACTGCTTGATGTGGAAATGTAAGAATTTATTTTCCAGCAATGGCTTCTCAAAAGAAAGCATCAGTTTGTTTGTAAATGACTCCTCAACAAGCATCAACCCAACAAGAGGGGCTTTTGCTTAGATCCCCCCCCCCCCCATTTTGTGGGGACATATCGTCATCCATTTGTGACTATATCGTTTAGTTGAGGATCAAACTCGGGTTTCAATCGACTTAACAAACAAACAATAAGAAATGGTAGGTGTCATGAGTGGTGATCGATAGGCCAGTCATCCAGGATTATGTTTACATGAAGGTTTAATGGATTGCATGCGATGGTAGCATAGCTATCGGCAAAGCAGGCAGATTGGGTACTCCGAAGTGTCCGGCTTCGTCATGATTTATTGTACTGTGAAGCATTGCGAGTCGGGGTCACCTCATATTTTTAACATTTTCAAAAAATCTTTATTCCTCGTAAAGACGAGTGGCCCGTGGTATTAATCTCGTCCACCGCTTCGGACTACTTTCACCACTACTGAGTACGGGGAATCCTAGGCTTAAAGGTGAGGGAATTGCTTTTTTATTTGCACCAGCCCGAGTTCCACAAATATTATGTTTTCGGGTTCGATTTCTTACTTTCTCCGTATTCTTCCATCCTGCATTACGTTTTAAGACAACCAATGGCGCTTAATGACTATACCATATATAAACAGTAGACCTCTTACTCGCATATTTGTTCCGAAGCGTTACAATCTGACACATATTGTCTTTGTCTGAATTAAGTATAAGGATTAATTGTGTATATGTGTTGGTTCATTGAGGCATGAATGAAAATAGCTCTGCGCAAACTCCTTTAATTTGGATATCTTCTATTTAAGTCACATATCACAGAACCGAAGAAAAGGAACAGTCAAAACAGAAATGACATTCTTCCTTGATTACTCACTGTTAAACTGTTTAATTATAAGCGGAGAGTTTAATTGTGTTCTCATGTGTACTCGAAAATGATGCTGGTATTAGGAAAAAGGTTTTACAAGATTTTAAATCACCTCGGCAATATTCCAGCCATATCGTGACTATTAACAAGTTTTTATGTCATAATAAATCATTATTAAAACAAATTGTCGGCGAAGGACAGTAATAATAATTAGAATATCACAGATATAATTGTTAAACTAGTATGAAAATCTAAAATATCTATGAACGACAATACAATATAAAAAAGTTGCTATAGATCGCTAACAACTGAAGGTAGATCACCATACTAGGGACAGTACCTTTGCTATCTGCATGGACCCTAGCTGGATTCACATCATCTCTTCAGCCATTGGCGATTGTAGTCAAAATTAGCCATACTTTGGAATAACACATATTCTACGATTAAAAACACATAGTATGAAGAATCCGTTGAATGAAATGGGACTTACATACTTTACAAGATAAGTATACTCACGATAAGATGTTGTTGTATATGAAAAAGGGGTGAAAGCATTGCTCATCTGAAAATGGATGAAAAATATGACGTCATTTTATGAGCAGAAACGAGTCGTGAATCAAATCTAGCTCCGTGAATGAACATGTGCAGCTTGTGGTAATCTTCACTTTTGTATGTGACGTATGTTTGTTACTTTGATATATTTGGACATTGATGTCTTCTACCTTCCATGCAACACATGTTATATTTGGGATTACACTTTCTCAGTGAGGAACAGATTCTAGTACTTCTGTTGGGTTTAGTCCCATCCGGGATTCGAACCCACACACTCAGAGTCAGGAACCTAATTGCCAGCACACAAAGTCAGCCGTCTAACTCATTCAGCCATCGTGGCTTTTGCAAGAAAAATGGAAGTCGGACAACTGGTAGTCTAGACCACGGACTTTGTGTTGCCTCTGATAAGGGTAAACAGGCACGTGCACGGCTCCTACGGCCGAAAGTTATGGATACACAATGCCATGTTTTAGAAATTGGTCAAGAGTAACTCATGTTATATGTTTAACACATGCATATTTGGGATTACACTTTCTCAGTGAAGTACAGATTCTAGTCCAACCGCTGTGTCAGACCCCTCGTTGTTAGAGTCAGCGTGTGTGGTCTCCATATTGAGGTTCGACTTTTAATCAGTATGACTGGTGGGATCATTGTGAGAATATTAGTGATAGATGCTCTATCGTCAGTTTTGATGTCACAGCGGCTTCCACTGGACTGTGTGTGCTGGCGATTAGGTGCTTGACTCCAAGGGTGTGAGTCCGTATCCCGGATCGGACTCAACCCAACAAAAGTACTAGAAAAATGTTACATTTGGGATTACACTTTCTCAGTAAAGAACAGCTTCTAGTAATTATGTTGGGTCCCAAATATAACGTGTTATATTTGACCACTTATGGCATTGTGTATTCAATCGTCAATATTCAATGTAAGTAAAACACTCATAATAAGCAAGACTGACAATATTTACGGCTGAATGACTGAGGATAATAATAGTCCTTGTTATGTGACTATTTAAGCTATTTCGACACTGAAAGTGAGTATGATATTAAACTTAACTTCAAAGATTTGATAACCTATTCTAATAGAAAATCTTTCACAGCAGAGAGATGTATTAATACATCCATGACGATTGCTATCAGGGATGTTACCGCAACATCTATGAATGAAAATAGACTTTTTTGTATCAATGTTCATATTCTTATCTGCAATTCTCCTAGGCATAAAAAGTATAAATAGGTACAAAAGTTCACCTTTACTGTTTGAAGTGAGTGAGTGAGTGAGCGAGTTTAGTTTTACGCCGCACTCAGCAATATTCCAGCTATATGGTGGCGGTCTATAAATAATCGAGTGTGGACCAGACAATCCAGTGATCAACAACATGAGCATCGATCTGCGTCACTTCTGGCTTTCAGTTCGTATAGATTCTTCAAAGAAAGTAGGGGATAGTTTGAAGTGCCTTTGAAATAATACCAATATTTATACCACTGTCAGAGATATTAGCTTTAGCTATAAGAGTAAAAGGAACGTGTATGATGATAAAAAATGGGACACATTATAACTGGTAGTGAAGTATGGCATGTCTTCAGGTACGATAAGATAGAGTTGACTCTCTGGATGAGTACCGCCAAGAGTGTCAAATCTCAGTTATTTGAGGAAGCATATTACGTATGACTCTCCCGCAGTTCAATGTGGTCGTCGAGTTGACGCACCCCCAGGTATGTCCGTGACGTGTTCAGTAGGGGAAAGGCTCAATGCTGGTCATGGCATTCGATGGCTGTTGTGCAGCTGTTGGTAACACATGACTAGCGGCTTTTATCCCAGTTTTGATGTTGTGTTCACCACTGACGATTTCAAGTCAATTGATCGTAACTATTCTGTACGTTTTTCCATGGCCTAGTAAACAATTGACTGAATCGAACGTCAAACATTTGGATGGTACATTTTCTGTGAAACATTGAACATATTGGCCCCTGCACGCTAACTTCTAGTAATTTCTACCATTCCTATAGCTGGTTAAAGGCACATTTGTACACATTTTCGACAATATTTTCGACACTTTACCTTCCTATTGGTGCAATAAAAGACTTATTATCCCGTACGACTTGCCTGAATTCGATAATTGAAACTTCTAGTCGAACAGCCTCCGAACAGAGAACACTTGCCCTAGGAATGTAAACAAATGCCCCGTACATCGAAAGCTGTCGCACCAGGTATTGTGGGTGTTTGCCGAACTGGTTTCAATCACAAGTTGCGCGAATGTTTTATTTGTTTTGTTTTGTTTTTGTCTAGGACTGAGTTCTGTCTCCAAAGGAGTTCGTAAAGAGCGCTCCAAGGGACATAACTGTTGTTTAATGTCGCATAGAAAATGACTGCACATCGATGGCTACGTGCAGCTGTCCAAGCGTACTGTAATAACAGTATGGATGGGGCACTTAACTGATGGTGTGTCCCTATATGTGCTAATCTGTCTGATGTTTCATAGCTGAGGGTCAGTGCTTAAAGGCACAACTTCACACTACACTTCTCTGAAAATAAATAAAGCATTTTTCTCAATAATACTATCAACCCACAGGGAAGCTACCATATGATTTATTTAAAAAAACACGTATTTAGATCACAATAGTAGATTGAAAAGTTCGAATGAATTAATACAACGCTGCATTGAATCGACTTTCGCGACCTCAACCGGTCGAACACTATTTCAAACGAACCCCATAGACTTATCAGATGTTTGATGGGCATTTAGAAAAATACAATTTTAAATTGATTTAAACGTACATTTGTTGGTTCTTTCAGGAACTAATCGTCATCAGTCTTCTCAAACGATCGTCATCAGTCAATCCGTAACATCAACATATATGGTTAACTGTACAGATTGAATAATTTCCCCACAAGTTTTAACCTTTTTGTCATGATTGTCGGGTTGTAATGTTATTTACTGAAAAATAAGCCTTTTGGCACCACACTCAAAGGGGCATCTATCAGATGCTAGCACTGAACCGAAGCAATACGCCTGATCAACGAACATGGCCGATGGTTCGCAGCCCTGTCACTGTCATGCCAAAGGATCTTGGGATATGGTACGCTGACTGACGCTCAGTATTAATAGAATGAGGTCGGGCTGAGTATAATAAGTGAGTGTGTTTTCCGTATTAAGCTGCATGCTATCCCCGTGGACTAGCACTATAAAACCGGTAACAGTCCAGAGAAACATTAGCTGCCACACACTAGTCCATGCACGTAGCTATAGAGGTGCAGTGATCTTCTACACGACATTAAACAACAGTTTACCTCACCATACAACATGGCCGTTTTGGTCATCCTTGACCCAGCGCACTGCTTCAGAGTGACAGTATGGTCAATGTACCTATGCTATTCCTGCATATGATTGTAGCAAGTCATTTGAATGAGTGGGTGAATCTGAGACAGACAGAAATACGAAATATTTATTTTTCTATTATCAGTAAAATGCCATGATATATTACCGGGGTGTTTTTCAGCTATGCAATATTATTTCATTCCTTATTGCGTACATTAATATCGTGAAATTAAACTGGATTAAAATATGATCAGCAGCGGCAAATGTACATGAATCCGGGTTCGATGTCGTGTGTTTTTGTGATAGAAAACAGATCTAATTGAATCGAGTGTAGTTACTTGAACTTTGAAATTTCTACTTTATCTACATTTAACCGTTGAAAACTTATATTGCTGATATAAAGGCGACGTGTGAATACAGCATTCGTACCTGAAGGTTAGACCATGGACTTGTCTCCCATGGTGCATGCTGGCAATAAATATCATTTTGTATTGCAGACATATAAGGCGGAGGTTGAAGTCCGCGATAATGACGCCTCTCGTGTCACGTCAGGCTGGCTATACGATTTTATGGGTGTAAGCCGTTTATCTGCTATGAGCATGCTTCTACACGTTATTACCTTGCTGTTACAAAACATTTTCGTTTAAAGCACTGCACCGGTTGACAGGGAGCGACGTTTCTAAACATGTCAACGCCAGAGAATAGCCTCTCGAATGTCTGCCGATATATATTCTATTGGTCCGTCAAAGGCAAAATAGAAATGTATGGATGACAACACTGCTCGCTGAAAGTGTAAACATATCTTGCAGGACCGGCAACACCCTTCCTCTTACACAATCTGTTGTATGACGCCGAACACTGGATTGTAAAGACTGTCCACTTGGTGGTGAATGGTGTGACTATGTTTCTACATAAAGTTTGCGTGAACCTATACAAAGTCCAAAAGCGCTGTCTACGGCGTCCCTATACGTTATCTATTTACAATTACACGCAACGATAAATATTGTATTTGTCATTCTGCGACATATTATAGGCAACTGCTATATAATATTCAACAATTTGAACGAAATACATTTGTACCACATCAAGCGTTGACGTCTGTTTGTATTATGCCTATCACTATAACGTAGGACATCAGGCAGCACATGTGTTAACATACCAATGTTAGTTATCAATGCTATCTTACCGCACACACAAACATATTGAAGTTACAGTACACTACGCTTATAACAAACTCAAAGGGGCGAAAAACAGTTCGTTTTAACTGTAGTTCGTTATATCCATTTCGACTACAATATGCACAAGGTGGCCAGGCCAAAGAACCCACTTTGTTGTATCTGTCAGTTCGTTTAGTTAGCAAACGTAGTTTGTTATATATCTGCGAATTACTTGTTTGGTGAGATACAGTGATATCTCCAGAAGATTCGATATAATATCTTTACCGTGTGTGCCCTAATGACTTCATGAGTTTAACTGTGATGCAATGTCGGTCACAGTTACATTGTTGACAAGATAACAGTTACTGTTATGTCCGCTACTTATTTTGTGAAGACGTTGTACATAACGATAACCGATTGCCAAAGAAACAGGTGCAGCCGTTATGAAGGAGTTTTTGAGTATACAAAAAATGAAACAAAACGTCACTTTATCCAAGACACTCTGCAATAATATCACTGATTTTAGAGACTCGTATAAAAGTCTGTGGCTGATATATTTCATATTCAATTTTGCAGTGGATCAATTGTTAGAAAATGTGATCATTTTCAATGTTTGAGATGAACAGTGTACTTCTGAACACATTCAGTGTGTTTGCCTTAAATGGAAAACTGGAGCGTATATTCTGTCAACTTTTGGGTAAAAAGAGGACGAACTGGTTTAATTTATATACAAAGCACCAAATAATGAATTTGGACGTTGTGTAATTGTGTTTAATATCATCAGATAATTACACACACCTTCTGGAGTTGCTCATACTATGGTAAGGTAACGTTGTAGGAAATATGAATCGTGTTATCAGTATGTATCGAGTTATGACGTGAATGTTAGAAACCATTTGTCATGTGACTTTAAATTTACCATTTGAAACGGGAATGCTAAAATCGGATTTGAAACGTATTTTTAACGTATGTGTGTTAAGACAACACTTACTCTCAAAAGAGTTGTTTTTCCTTTCTGCAATACCATATTTAACTGCCAGTATTTCACAGTGTATCGCGTTATAACGTAACGTTCCTTGAATCAATCTCATTGGCTTTTTTTGGGATATGACAAAAACGTCGCCTATTGTCGCAAATATAACTTGTTAAAATATATTGTTAGAGATACATCATAACAGAGATATAATGTGGTATATATACGAGTAGTCATATGAAAATATTTATATTTTAAAATAAAAGAAAGGAGAATCTTTCGACTATGATCTTTTAAGAGGATTAATATCACCAATTAAATCCAAATCTAACACGTCAGAAGAATATATGTAACCAAAAAATAAATAATATAAACACGATCAAGCACAAACATACACCTCTTCTCGTAATCCTACTCCTACGTAGAGGCTATATGTTTACTTCGGGATATATCCAATCTATCCGTTACCAACGTACGAATATTGACAGTTGCTTCATAACCTGCCTGTCGCTGCTTTAGGTTACACCAGGGAAGAGAAAGCTTATGTGTTTTTGTTCATACAGGTTGTTTGTGTATTGCCCACTCATGGGAGCCATGTTGGGATATTAAATTAAGACCTCACATGGTGACTTGGAACACGTAATGTGGAAATGGTTCCGGGTCGTCTCACCCGAAGTCGTTTCACCCGGGTCATTTCACCTTGGTTGTTTCATCACAATTCCAAACTGGGTCAATTCATCCTACATTAGGGGGGGGTTCGCCCCTGTTTAAGATTTGTTTCACCTCGACTTATTGAGTATACATGGAGAAATGTATTAATGCTTAAATCTGTTAATCCTAAACAGGCAATGTTTTTACAACAATCAAGTAAATGCTACTGTGTCTGTGTTGAGATGGCACATCGGACTAAAGCTTTTATCTCAAGAATATTCCATCAAATTTATTGTGACGTTTCAACTTAAAATCAAAAAGTCATTACTGACTGCAGTGGAAATCTAGTCATAAACGCCTAAAATGAATATGTTTCATATCTCACCATTGAACAGAGGCAGGAGAATACGATGCCAGTCAAACAGCGCTTGAAGGTATCCATGCTGATATATGAATTTGCATTAACAACTTAAACTTGGTTCACCGAGAACATATACTTCCATTTGTCTTTTTAACACACCCACTCATCTTCACTGTGCGTAGACTGTCGGGTGTTGCTGATCAGTAACACTTCTCTGTTTACTACACAGTCCTTGATATCCACGATCAACTGTCGGTTTGTATCAGTTCTCCCGACCGGCGCTCCTCGACCCTGGTGAGTGATTGTGTAAGATTGACTCCACCCGTGTTAGCCACCCGAGCAATTTCACTTCCTCATTCTATCAGCCAGGCCACGTGACAGGATCACATACACAACAAGCGTCATGACCAGGCATAATACTGACAGGGCTGTTTCACTCTCTCCCCGTTTGCTTAACAACTACTTGCAAACGACCGCACGACCGTATGCAACCGTTAGTACCAACGCCACTTTTAACTTCTCTAATCAGTGTTAGATTCTACGGGTGGGGATGGGTAGTGGTTCTCAATTGACAAAAACATTATGTTTTTGAGTCAATATTAGTAAATAACACCAAATACTACTTTACTTTGTTCAAATTCTTGAAAGACATTTAGAAGTTGGACGAACTTGAATACATGAGACGTTTTATGAATGACAACTCATTATATTCTTTATTTTTTCACATCTATGTTTTGCTCACTATATCCTCATTCACACGATGAAGGAGCAAGACTAAGCTCTGAAACGTCGTACAAAGAATAAAGTTGTTTTCCATGAAATGCCATGTATTTATTTACATTTTAGGCACAGCATGGACACAAACCCTATCCTCAACTCCACACACTGGAGTATAACTTCAGAATGCATACTTCCTATTCTCATTGACTCGCCTCTGACTATCTGCATTTGTTATCAAAGCCAAAACAAATATAGACTGAATGTAAAGTCTTGCTTTCCTTGCTTTCCTTAGTGTAGTTATGCTTGATATTTCTTGAATTGCGGTTTGGGTTCCGAGTCGTTTCACCCCAAGTAGTTTCACTTCGGTCGTTTAATCCCATTTCCAAACTAGGTCAATTCATCCCATATTAGGGGTTGTTTCACCTCTAATCAAGAATTGCTTTTCCAAACTAATTGCGTATACATGGAGAATGGTATAGATGCTTAAGTCACATCTGATCTCATCTCATCACGCTTAAAACTTAAATGAACAATTAAATAAGTCAACATTGAGTTAGACATTACACTTGCATTTCTGCCATGGCGACTGTATGTTAGGCGATCTGTCTCAGCTGCCTCTGTCTGTCTGTCTGCATGTTAGTACACAGTGCTCTTATAGACCCACCCCTTATATACATAATACCAATTGATAAATAATGTTTTACTAATACCTTCTACATATTAGTCTGTAAATTGTTATTATTCAATAACCTGACTATTTACTTGTCTATAGTGTCTGTTTGGCACTTCCCCCGACCCAAATACAGCCAAAATGAACTGATACAATTATCCAAACAATCTGAATATGCTGTTTTGACACTATACATAAATGAATAAAATACTGAAACAAGTATATAGTTGATGATAATAATAATAAGTATTATTATTATTTGCTGGGGCGAAACAGCCTCTAAATGGGGTGAAACAACCCGGGTGAAACAACCTGGGGTGAACGTGTTTGGGGTGAAATAACCCGTTACCTCGGTTTTTATAGCTTAACCTTCCCATGTACGTTGAACTGACTTTTATGTCTCCTCGCATACTACATGCGTTCAATAAACCGACCCAGTCTGCTCAACCTGGTGCATACGTCCATTTCCGTTAATCAGAAGGCCGGGCGCATTTTGTGGATTTTGTCAGACATTCTTCCGGTGTCAAACTATACAAAGCAGCAAAAAAAAACGTCAGTACGAATTCTAAATTAGATAGGCACTGTAATCAAATCATTACAGAAATGGACATAATAAGCGGATCAAAAACATTTTTGTGTACAATATCTTGACACATAATGAATAATTCAGCACAATTTCAAGACATTACGTGAACGTTTGCAGCTCATTCAGACTCTTGACTTCAGTATCTAGTGTGACCACTACGAGCGGCAAAAACTGCAGCACAGCGTCTATGAACGGAGTGCACCAATCGATTGATGAAGGTCATTGGCACCTTGAGCCACACTCTGAGAAAGGCCTGGCGCAATAAATCGGCTGTGTTCGGCCTTGGTATGACATTATTCAGTCTCCTCTCAATTTCATCCCAAAGATGTTCAATTGGGTTTAAATCAGGACTAAGGGCTGATCACTGCATAATGTTGAAACGGTTCTGCTGTAGGAAGTCCCGTGTAGCTCTGGCACTATGGGCCCGTACGTTATCATGCTGGAAAATGTTGTTCCGGTGACGTGCGAAATGTGGTATGACGTGGGGTCTGAGAGCTTGGTCGATGTAGCGCACCGCTGTGATGCCGCCTCCTCTCCCTGGACCAAGGTTCTGGAACACCACAGGACCCACTCTCTGGTTCAGGCCTATTCCACCCCATACCATGATGCTTGCACCTCCCCATGAGTCTCTTTCTGTAACACATTGGTCTGAGTAACGCTGGCTACGTCGTCACCATATTTTTGTTCTGCCATCTGCAGTTGATATGCAGTGCCGATTCTCATCTGTGAACAGAACAGTTCTCCATTGCCTGTATCGCCAGTTTTGGTGTTGTAGGGCAAACTGTAGACGTTCACGCCGATGACGAGGGATGAGGATAGGTCCACGGTAATATAAGGTCTACGGCAATGGAGGTTCCCGTTGTTAAGACGTCGGCGTACTGTATCGGTACTGATTGGTCTTCCGTGTGTTCCAAATGTCTGGCGTGCTGTTTCCGATGCCTGCATGAAGGGATTCTGTACATACTGTCGCACAATATGGCGGTCTTGTCGTCTTCTCGTCTTGTGGTCACCCTTGGTCTGGCTGTACGCGGGCGATCATTTGTGGTGTTGGTGGCCCGGAAACGTTGCTACAGCCTGTAGATGGCCCGAACGTTGACCTGGAAGTGATTGGCAACGGCTTGTGCAGTGTGGCCAGCTTCAAATCATGTTCCTTGATTTCCTATGTTTAGGGGCGGACGGTGTATAAGACACATATAGAAAGTCGCGGCATACATATAGCATAATATACACCGTCATGTCAACTTTACAAGTTTGCTAATTGTATCTGTATCTGTCGACTGTCCTCATGAGCTGCCCAAACCTTTACTGAACACTGTTGATGTCTACTGCCCTCGTGTCCACCCCTTTACTGTATTTAACACTGATGATGTCGACTGCCTTCATGTCCACCCACTTACTGTATTTAGCACTAATGATGTCGACTGTTAATGTCGACTGCCCTCGTGTCGACCCCTTTACTGTATTTGATATTGTTGATGTCGACTGTCGATGTCACCTGTCCTGGTGTCCACGCCTATAACTGTATTTAACACTGATGATGTCGACTGCCCTGATGTCCACCCCTATACTGTATCTAACACTGAGTGTCGTCATGCCCACCTTGACCCATTTGCTTGACACAAACGAAGTCGATTGTCTTCCTTTCTCAACAACGCATAATTCAGGAGTGTTCGTTCCGAATGTGCATTTGTTAGATTGTATTCACTATTCATAGGTATAATACCCTATAGTGCGTCAGAGTAGGAAAAAGGTGACAAAGAGTTACTTTATTATTGAATTGTTTACTCTTCTGAAGCAACAACAGGCTGTGGCATACATTTAAAGCAGATATTATCCATTGTCAGCATTCAGTCAGTTGAATATATTTGTTGAAATATATACATATACATATATATATATATATAATGATACCGAAGATACCGATATAATGATATATATATCCACATAAAGAAACTGTGCATTGTCAAAATATTATCCCAGTTGATAAGTACGATAATAATGTCAAAAGTACATATAAACTTTAATGGAGGGATCATGAGACCATAACAAGTCCGGAGTTTTGAATTGAAAAGTCAATCACAATGACGTCACGAGTCCAAAAGCGGGACAGGGGTCAAACGACCATGTCCCAAGCTCAATAACGGGTATGTCCACCATCGGCATTGAGAACAGCAGTGCATCGACGACGCATAGAGCCTATCAAAGGCTTGTGGGATGTCACGCCAGATTCACTCAAGTTCTGTTGCAAGGTCAAGGACGTTATCTGGCGGATGAGGAAGATGGCGTAGACGTCGATCCATCTCGTCCCAAACATGCTCTATCGGGGAGAAATCCGGTGAATTTGCAGGCCAAGGTAGTAAGTCAACGTTGTGGTGTTGCAAGAAATCCATAGCAACCCTTGCCGTATGAGGGCGGGCATTGTCCTGTTGGAATGTTAACCCAGGGCCATGACGTTGCAGAAAAGGAATTGCCACAGGTTTGATGAATCTGATCCCTGTAGCCCACACGAGTTAAGTTGCCCTGAACAATCACCAAAGGAGTTCTTTGGCGTGCTGCTATTCCACTCCAAATCATCACGGAATCACCACCAAAGCGTTTCCTCCCCAAAACACAGGCCTGTGCATAACGTTCTCCCACGCGTCTATAGGCACGTTGACGTCCATCACTATGGGAATTGTTAAACCTGGACTCATCTGTAAAAACAACATTTCTCCACCAAAACAAGGGTCTGCGGACATGATTTCGGCACCACATTTGGCGAGATTGTCGATGACGTTGTGTCAGGATAGGCTGTATGGCGGGACGTCGTGGTCTGATCCCGTGATGACGTAAACGTTGTCGAACTGTGTTGGGGTGGATACGGCGAAGTCCTGGGATGGTTCGGGCAGTCATCACTGCAGTCTGAAACCTGTGGCGAAGATGGGTCACCCTTATCCATATGTCTTGTCTTGGCGTTGTTACACGTGGACGTCCAGAACGTGGCCGATCGATGACGTCATTTGTGTTCTGGTAGCGCCTCACCAGTGAAGAAATGGTGTTCCGGTGGCAGTGGAAATATGCAGCCACTTGTCGTTGAGACATTCCCCCACGGACCATCCCAATGGCCTCATGACGTTGTGCAGACGTGAGCCTTGGTATGCTATGCGTTTCAATAGCCGTTTAATTTTTTGAACGATCGCAAGGGCAGGGGTTGAGCATTCCAAAGTGACGGTATTGTGTGGCATTCATTTGCTCTGTTTCTCTTTCCCGGAATGCACGTGCAACAACGTATTGCACGTCTCAAGGACGAACCCACTGACGTCACGGAACGTGGCACGTACATGCATGTTGGATACATGTCACTTATCTCTGAGTTTGAATCCTTTTGTGTCTACACAGGTTTGATCAATTTATGTTTTAAATATTTGTATGCACAGTTTCTTTATGTGCCTAGTATATATAAATATCCATCTGTGTCCTTAATAACAAGGTGAATCTGTTGTCACAAGGCCTTCAGTACGTATAGTATGTGTCTGTCATACCACTAGTGGTAATCTGGTAGCAGTGACAAGTATGCACCCTACGGATCCTCTTTTGCTGAATGGAAGATTGACAAAGCTCACAATGCAACTACTATAAAGGAATGAACATAAGCTGCAAGATGGTGTCACATAAAGGCAGGTCTGGACACGATAATACTGGAGTACGGGGGAACCCTGGTATTCACAACACGTATACAAATAACACACACTGTGCACTTTCTTCAGACAGGCAAGGACGACAATTTAATGGCAACAAAGCAGTCAATCGCCAATCGTCAATTCAGAAGGCATCTGTTCAAACTTTCAGAAAACCTGCTAAGGATCTAGCGGGGAACTTTGACTACACCAAGTATCATTCAACAGCTCCAATCAGTAATTTCCTGATGCAATGGCCAGAGAGGACCACCTTTCACAAATTGGTATAAAATGGCTAGACCCCACCAGTCCGGGCGGTGAGATGCAACGAAATACGTTATAACACTGACACACTGACACACTCACACACACTCTCTCTCTCTCTCTCACACAGACACACACACACACACACACACACACACACAGAGATACACACTGACACACACACTGACACACACACACACACACACACACACACACACACACACACACAGAGACAGACACACACACGAGTACAGTCAATTGTCTGTTTGTAATGAAAACGTACCCAAAAAGTAAATCAAGTACAATGAAAGGAAGATTGCGAATCCTCATAATTTTACCTTGCCAGTTGAACATGTAAATCTCAGAATGTTATTCAACTTAGGATAACAGATGTTTAACAAACGATCATAGTTTCAAATCGCTATTGTTGGTTTCTATCACAAGGGTTAAGCGCAGTAGTTGGAACAGTGAAACAAATGCACGTGCGGTACGTAATGAGTGTTAACTTAAACCAACCCGACTTGTTCTCGGGGTTTCATTTAATGTGCATACCCCCTTGTGATACAAACCAACAATAGCGATTTGAAACTATGATTTGTGTAAATCACAAATATATGAGCTCAATCGACCAGACTGGCAGAAAGAATGGTCCTCGGCCTTTATGAAATTGTCCAAATAAGGTATGACACACTCCTGCGCGGCATGTGCAGAATATAGAAAGTTGTTTCAGAGTTAAAGTTCTTGCAAGCTCTTGTCTGTGTTCTAATCCTTTGCATTAGCACTTATAATTCATGATCCATCCTTAACACTTTTAAGCATAAACGTGTGCATATGCATAAACATATCTATAAACTGATCTAGTCGGAATCGTACAGAAACTCTAATGTTTTCTATAGAGTATGGTACCTTCAAGGATTTAACTACATGACGCATCGTGTATACATATATGTGTTACATAATACTAGATGCGACATTCTTATGCTTTTCCTTAAACATTGAAACAATAGAACAACATAATCTATTGGCACAATGAGTCATTACACCTGCCACGTACATGTACATGAGTGCTTATCAGTCACAAACTAGACCGTAAAAGCATTTGATTTTGTTGGCTATATGTAGTGCTCCCTTTTTCATTTCAGAATATATGGTATTCAATTTACTATCGCTACTTATATTTAAAACATTTCACCTGTCACGTACATGAACATTGATTAATATCCTGAGTACTCACCATTCACAAACTAAACAGCACTAGCATTTGAAAAGGTTGGCTGCATGTACTATACATGATTTCATTTTAGAACCTATGGTAATCATTTTGCTATTGCTACTTGTATATTTATTTAAAACTGGTTTCAACATTTATCCTCCCATAATCATGACCATCTACATTCTGGTAAGTGGTAAGTGCGTCATAGGTATTGTCTGTGTCCCGAGGGGATTGCCCTGACACATAATTTACATAACCCTCAGTACTGTGGCTTTTGTCAACAGTCACCATCTGACCATCGGGAATCTTGTCGTATACGTCATCTTGCTCTGGGCGGACCTGATCATTTGCGATGACTTCATCTCTGCTCTTCTTAGGCCTCTCCTTGTGTGCTTTTCTGTAAGAAATCAGAACCTTTGGGCATGCATATGTATGTCAAAGAATGGATGCACTGTTTAATAAGTAACGTAATTAGACGATTAGACACAGTGGAGACATTGCATGATATAATCGACTTAATTTTAGCACAGTGTTTGCCCATGCTATATCTTGATGACTGGCAGATACCAGTGAATGTGTGAAGCCCATTTCTGGTGTCCCCCGTCGTGATATTGCTGGAATATTGCTAAAAGCTGCGTAAAAGAAAACTCACTCACTCACTTGAGAGTAACATGGTTACCCAGTATCATGACATTGTTAGTGCTTCGTACACCTTTCGCGAACCCAGTGGGACCATCATTCATTCACAGTTATTCATTTTTTATTCATAAATATATGGCAAAGATTGCTGAACATTGTGGAAGGAGTTCGTACGTATTGAATCTCAAACATACCTTCGTCTACGGATAACCACGACGACGATCACAACAACGATGACGACAACTGCAGCAACTAGTCCTCCGACCACAGCAGCAATTGGGAACGAAGCTGTAATTAGATGTACAGTTATTAATAGTTGATATGGTCTAAATGATTCCTATCAGATACATTATATGTAATGAGTCAAAGTCAGGTTATTTATTCTTGAAACATACCTTTTGCTGTAACTTCAATTTGTTGACTTGTGGTGCACCCATGATTTGTGCACGTGAAAGCGTAAACACTGAAAATAACGCAGAAAAACTGTATGTATGTGTGCGTGCGTATATGTATGTATTTATGTATTATTTATGTATGTATGTATGTATGTATGTATTTATGCATGCATGCATGCATGCATGTATAAATACATGCATGACGTTAAATGTGTTGTGTTAGTTAAAGTGTTTTTACTCGTAAAAAACAGATGTCTTCCCCTTCCCCCAATTCAACGTTGAGACCTGAAACGATTCATTTGATTCCTTCAATTTCAAAACGTCTATATGAAGTATAGAAATATGAAAATACATATTATACATATTTTATAGTAGTACATGTACATGGTTGATGCTTCAAAGCTTACTAGTAATTGGTATTGGTATTAAGTATACAAAATTCGGTGAAGATGGGTGAAGTGATTTTAGAGTTATGCTCCGAACACAAACCTACCCTTCAAAAAGCCCAAGTCCAAATTGTTGCCATGGAAGCAAAAACATAAAATTGAAAAAATCTCAAACCCCAAAAGGCACATATAGATGATATGGAGAAGCAGTATACCAAATTTGGTGGAGATTTCTCTTGTAGTTATATAGTCATGTTCCGTAAACAATTGGAACGCCGACGCCGACCCAAGTGTATGACAGCGGTTTTGATGTAGATCGGCTGACGAGTCGGCTCTTCATGTTTGTGCCTTGTCAGTGCATGATTTCACAACATTCGTCACTGGCGTTTGAAAAAACGTGTGACAGTGGTGAGCCTGCCATCAGAGCAAGTAACAAGTCACTACTTTACCGAATGCAGAATATGGATCTATATGCAGCATAAAGATGTATTACTCATGAGCAAGTGTTGTGAAATGCATAGTATTGTAAATATTCACAATACAAATATCAGATTGTCGGTGTCATCAACAACTTACTTAAATGTTTCTCCTGCAGGGAGTTTCCCGTTACAGAAAACGCCTGGCAGGTTTCCAGTGCAATCTTTCTCCCCTAGCGTAAAGGTCAAAGTGGGTTTACCTGTCAATAAAAATATAATCATAAGCATCATGTATCAATGACGTTTTGTATGTGTGTTGTTAAACATCAGAGCATTAATCCGGATGTATCGCGATGAAACAATCCAGTATGCATAATCCAAATCAGTCACTGAGCCTAAACACCAATATTTATGAAATTTTTGGGAAAATGATCACCCAACTAAGTCAGTAACACTTAGCGTTCTCGAAAGGGTCTGCAGTTGCACGGACATTTGTTGACCTTTGAGAAAGCAATTTGTACATAATTGCAGAAGGCAGCTGTATATGTCAATAGAAAAAAAACATCCCAGGAGCATTTATTGATTTATATTAGTTTAGAATCCAAGATACCATAATTATGTTTTTTATCCCGTATTAAATATTGTAACCACGTGTCAGCTGTTGCAGTAAGGATGTCACCAATACTCACCAACATTTCCAGCAAGCCAATCTGGCTTTGTTGCCCTGTACTCCACGTTGAAACTATATCCACTGGCCACATTCCAGTTAGCAATTTTGTTATAGTCCGCAGCAGAGGTTGTTGCGCGACGTTTTCCTGCATAATTAGCACCAAGTAAACAAACAGGAACGTCATATATATTATTTCTACGTGAAGAGAACCGGACATTAACATTTGCAGTTGTATCATTTTTATTCACATTAACAAGTTCCGAAAAAGTTCCAATTGCTAGCATCGCCAGAAAGCTGGAATATTGCACGGTGCGGCGTTAAACAACAAACAAACAAAGCAAATTGCTTGCGACATAGTATACACACTATTACAACGTTAAATATGGGGGATTTTGACCACGTCAACAGTGATTATTTCACTCATTTAAGTGATATGTTTAATTGCAAATAAGAAAAACATCGCAATATGAGATTTGCAAGTATTTCCGTCTACAGTATACTCACTGCTTTGTCCACAGCTTGCTCCTTTCTTACACACCATCATCCCGGTGATATTTACTTGACCGTTTGTTCGATCATTCAGACACTTCGGGCAGATGTTCAGTGTCACCGTTTGCTCTGTTTCTCCTGCTCCTTTTTTCACAGATTCCATAACTGCCGACTGCAGTGGGGCTACAAAATAGACAGTGAATGTTTAAGTAGCATTTCACCTAAGAATCATGCAGAGGTGAATAAGTCCACAATTTCATATTCACTTGAAATTTTGTCATTCTCTATATTTGGCCTTGTAAAATGCCATGTCACTCAGAAATGTGTTTGCTCTCAGTATTTTTCATTAATTAGCCGTCAATTAGAATTCTACGAAATTGACCCAGAATAGCATGTGAAAATGTACGAATGCTGCTTTTCAGTTGACAATATTGTTAAAACTATTCGTGCTGTCAGAATTATTTTACTTTGTACTGAAAGAATAAATATAACTTCAACTTCAGTTATATTTGTGAAGAGTTGATGAGCACAGCTCCGTAGCAACAGTTGTCAGGGTATTCTAACATATGTGAAAATTACTCAATTTGATGATTTTTAGGAACATTTATCTCTGGGGGTGTGTGTTACTCACCAATAACATAAAAGCTAACAGATTTTCAAGTACAAAATCCTATCATAGTTATTTTTCTTAAGTACTGAAGTAAAATATGTTGAGTCATCAAAATTATACTTTTCAGTAAATGTGCGATTACCTTTCATAATAAAAAAATGAAACGAGAAAGTCAGTGTTGACTTTCTATACTTTAATCAAAGATTAAATGGAATATTCCCCATCAAAAACGAAACACAGACAAAGTACTTTTAAGAGAAGAAGAAGAAGAGGAAGAAGTAATGTTTATGATATAGTGTCACGCATATAAATACAAATAATGCCCGGCCATAGGGCTTACGAGACACTTTCATAATACATACACGCTTAAAACTAAGGTATTACTCAATAATACATTCATACTGGTATTCTTACATTTGTCATCTGTTCAAAGCCTTCAGTCATTCCTGGTAAAGTGAGTGAGTTAGTGAGAGAGTGGGTTAGTTGGTTAGTGGGTTAGTTGGTTAGTTTGTTGACTGGTTGCTTGGTTGGTAAGCTGGTTAGTTAGTTTAGTTACTAAGTTTGAAAAATATTTGAATAAATAAGTATAAAAATAAAACAAATCCTTTCAGTTTGTCATACATCCCCATATATTACTGATTCATAATCTGTCATACTATCTTCCGTACACCAATCCTACTCCGACAAACAACATATACCTATTATACATTAGCTAAAACCAATCAAGGGGCGGTGGGTAGCCTAGTGGTTAAAGCCTTCGCGCCGAAGACCCGGGTTCGATTCCCCACATGGGCACAGTGTGTGAAGCCCATTTGTGGTGTGCCCCGCCGTGATATTGCTGGAATATTGCACAAAGCGGTGTAAAACCAAACTTACTCACTAAAACCATTCAAACGAATCATGCACTCATTGAAACAGACAAACAGCATATGGCCATATATTAACTATAAAACATTGTCACTAATTATTCATTCATTCCATCTCAAATATGTCATTGTCATACAGTCTTTCATACATTAACAGCTCAGTTAGCTATACCTATACATTCACTGTAACACATATACCATATTTATCAGTCATCTATTCACAATAACCATACATACACATCTGTTCCTCATTCAACTCTGTCATCACTGTCGGACACATTTTCATACACTGTGTGTTCAGGCCTCTCAATCAAACAATGTATCTGTACATTCATTGCCAATACAGCAATCGTACTAACATCATACATAATACTGCAATAGTAGTGAAAACGGAAATGTGTTTGTAGTTACGCCATTCTTAATAGTGACATTGTCAGTGCTAGCTATGTTTAGTTTTTTTACTGCACTAACTTGGGCTATACACGCCAGTGTCTTATTATCCCCCCGGCATGTAATGCGGGAGAATATAGTCGACGCCTCGTCCTTCTGTCCGTCCGTACGTATAGTAATCATTTTGTTTCCGGAGCATAACTCAAAAACCGTTCAATGTTTTTCAACAAAACTTGGTAGATATATCAAACCGAACCTAAGGTGGTGTCTTTTTCTGTTTACAGATTTTTGTCATTTTTATTTTTCTCGGTTTCCATGGAAGCGATTCGGACTTAGTCTAAAGGGAGGGGTGGACTTCGTTTCCGGAGCATAACTAAAAAAACCGTTCAATATGTTTCTGCAAAAATTGGTAGATATATCAAACAGAACTTAAGGTGGTGCTTTGTGCTGTTTACCGATTTTTGACATTTTTATTTTTCTCGGTTTCCATGGAAGTGATTCGGACTCAAAAGGGAGGGGGTAGGTTTTGTTTCCGAGCACAACTCGAAAAACTGCAGATTTGTGATATTTTTATTTTTCCCGGTTTCCATGGAAACGAGAAACTTAATCTCAAAAGTGAGGGGTGGGCTTCGTTTCCGGTGCACAACTCGAAAACCGTTCAATATCTTTTAACAGAACTTGGCAGATATATGAGACAGGTCTTGAAGTGGTGCCTTTTGCCATTTACAGACTTTTGTGATTTATTATTTTCTCGGTTTCCATGGAAACGATTCGGACTTAGTCTCAAAAGGGAGGGGTGGACTTCGTTTCTGGAGCACAACTCAAAAACTTCTTAATATCTTTCAGCAAAACTTGGCAGATATGTGAGGCAGATCCCAAAGTGGTGCCTTTTGCTGTTTTCAGATTTTTGGCATTTTTATTTTTCCCGGTTTCCATGGAAACAATTTAAACTTAGTCTCAAAAGGGAGGAGTGGGCTTCGTTTCCAGAGCATAACTCAAAAAGTTTCAGCTAAACTTGGCAGATATGTGAGACAGATTTATATTTGGCATTTATATTTTTCATGATTTCCATGGGAACGATTTGAACTTAGTCTAAAAAAATCAAGCTGGACTTTAATAACTGTCAGATGATTTGTTCTTTTAAATATTTGGGGGCGCCGGGGGGATATGTCATCTTCTGATGACTCTTGTATTGGTTGATACATGTCAAAGAATTCTATTTGCGTAGATCGATGTTCATCATGTCGGTCACTACATCTGGTAGAGGACATGTAGCTTGAATATTGCAGATTTGGTCGTTAGAGAACTAACAAATAAACAAAATGATATCATATGGCTAGAAAAGTTCACTCACTTCTTGCAAAAATACACACACCGCTGACGAATAGCACAAATTTTAAACACCTCTATTCCAATGACATCACTCACTGTGTTAAATATAGTCATTAACACTTCCGTTTCTACACAATTCTGGTTTGGAAATCATATGCCCAATGCAGAACACATTTTCGTCAGTTACAAGCAACAAATACTCAAATTATTATTGATTGCAAAATGCTAAATTTCAATTTTAATATAACTAGAATTTAAAAAAATGTGAATTAGATACAATCGGGACCCCTCACAAGAGATCATACTCGTGTAATTATTTCGTGAGGCGTATTGTGTGACTTGGAAACACAATATCATCAAATCATAGGTGAAGACTCGTGAATTCCACTGGACACATGTCAAGTGGTAGCAGCAGAGTTCAAATTTGAGTTAATACATTACAGGCACGTTCCGAAACCGTACAGGTTACACTGTACGTAAAGATTTGTTATGACTGGAAATGGTTTCGTCACTGTTATTAACCAACTACAGGTTTGCTGAGTGTTATAAATAATAACGACACATCACAGCAGTTAATACTAAGTATCCAGTAAATCACCCAGTCGAAATGTTAGTCAATAATTCAATACTTACCACCTCCCACTATGTCTTTGCTTACACCGACAACAGAGCCTGCAAACCCTTTGTTGTAGAGACGTACCTAGTTACAGAGAAAATATGTAGAATGAGTATCATTTCAGAGTCTTTGTGACGATAACAGTGATGTAATAATATATAATGACGCAAGGGACTCGACAAAAACTTGTCACGCATAATACAATGCCGCCTTCGAGTCCACTCATCTCTCGGAAACGGTTACGGTAAACAATGTTCTCAATTTAACCGTTGGGACATTACGTCCTGTTTCATCCAAACTGGATGGCTTAGTTCGACGCTTATGTTCAGTGAGTCGTGTTGCTCGTCCAGATATGACTATCCGAAGACCGCTCAAAGAATCCTGGCATCTCGCTTGACTGTCGGCAGTAAATGCAGAGATTAATGTAGTCGGTTGGATCATGGCCTGTATATCGGCATGGGTGACGCATGTTTAAAAAGATATCACAGCAGCCCACGTAGATATATGGTCAACAGCCGTTGTGCAGGTACCATTGATATTCAAATAATTTTCGCGTGGTAATTAGGACAAAAGTTTGAAGGCAGAAACAAATCTGATATAATGCATTGTTTGAAAATGTCGCAATACACACAAGGCGAATTTGCGTTACACAGTTTGCTGGTGTACGGGAGCACAATTTGTATGTCATTTTTCTTGACCCGTTTTAACAACCAGAGTATACTTCTCGAAAGCTGATGGAGATAGCTAATGAACAACGGCAGACGATAGAGCAAGGAGTGTTAACATGAGGATTCGAATTCTGTGGAGTCATTAATTTCCTGCAGGCTGAGCAATTTCTTGAACCCGAGGGAGAGGACCAAATGGATTAAAAGCCCTTACATTTATCTATTTAAAGTTGGAAACATTTTGTTTAGAAAACAGAATAAAAATTAAGAGGTTTCCCGCGCATCTGTTAGGGGAGATAACTTCTCTGGATAGCGGTTGGAGGACCACCTAGATTCAGAAACAAGATTTAGGAAAAAGGCAATCAAGTGAAGGACTTATTCGTAAGGAGTGTGTGTTTGAACAATAGTTACTTGTCCAGAATGAATTACTGTCAGATGTAACGAGTGGTGTTGGCGTTGTTCTAGTTAGATGTCTTACGGATTAGGTGTGATCTGGAATCTTCCAGCACAGCATCCAATCTAGCTACTCTGTACAATATATAAATTTCTAGAGTGAGTGAGTATGGTATAAGGCCGCTTTGAGCAATATTCCAGCAATATCATGGCGGGACACACCAGAAATGTGCTTCACACATTGTACCCATGTGGGAAAACGAACCCTGGTCTTCGGTGTGACGAGCGAACGCTTTGACCACAAAGCTACACCACCGCCCCATAATTTTCTGGAAGATACTTGCGGCTATACAATGGGGTAAGCACATGTCGCTGTCATCTCATGTGTAGTGAAAACCAGCAGTTGTCTACATATCACCTTCTTAGCCTCGACATCCAGGCCTGTTTTCGAAGCTTGACCACTGTTGTGGCTAGATTAATTTTACCATCATATCATTTATTATTTCGCTGTTGCCTCTGCTCAATCAACGTTTGTTTTCTGCGTGGCTGCATGGGGAAGAATTAATGTGACTGATGAAAACCAACACATGAAATTTTAGATTATTGGTACATTTTGTCTCAGGAATACATACTTACTGATGACGTCGACACAGGCCAGAGGACAAACGACAACCAGGTAATAGTATACGCTCACTTGACTTACATTTGAGGGGCTATCTTACACCTTACGACCTGATATTGTCTTTATGGCCATGTTGGAAATTGTGATGATGCACCAGTCTCACTTGGCTCGGGTTCTTCATCATTTACAGTTGCATAGATTGAAACTTCCTTATGAACATATTAATCGCATTCTTAATGAGTATAGTGATATGCCTCGTGTCTCAACTCACCTCGAAAAGATACTTGAATTCTGTAGTTACGGTCACCTTCACATTCCAAATGCAGTCCCCGTTATTGGTGAAGTTCTCATTCTTGCTTATAGGATTATATGTCGACTGTTGCTGGTGAACAAATATAACGACAGGTGGAAGCAGATTTGTAATGAGCTCGTAAAAACTAAAAAATCAGTCAGGAAAGTATCACATTCAGGGAGAAATTAATATTTTTTTATCTAACTTTGAATAATTCCACTTTCCCTGCATATCGCTCTAAAACAATTCACTGATCGTAGTTAGAAACAATGCAGAGTGCAGCCATAGCTTCGTATAAAGAGAGATTGATCAAATAATTCAACTTACTTTTGTGAAATAATGCAGATTGGCGTTAACAATCCGTCCATTTCTACCATCTTTCTGTTTGGGACACTTCCACGACACTTGTACCTGGTTAAACACATCAGTGATGTCCTCGACTTTCAGTTCCAATACACCCGTCGGCTCTGGGAATATAATGAGAACGGCTTGAAGACTATTGAAGCAATTGAATAGAAAAATGAGTTACAAAGCAACAGGTGTCATATATGTAACGTGTATCCACAATTGACTGTACTCGTGTGTGTGTGTGTGTGTGTGTGTGTGTGTGTGTGTGTGTGAAAATAATAATGTTTTTATTCATCTTAGTCTTTGTACCTGACTCCATCGTCATCTCAGGGCCGCTTGTGATAATGGCTGAAGCACCAATGCGTGTTTCAGCTGCTATATCAAACTTGTAAAGCCAATAGTTGGAGAGATTTCCAAATGTGTACGTCTTGATTCCCCACCCTGAAATGTACAATTCCTAACTGCACTCTTCTGTAAAGATAACAGAACATGAATATAATGTATCACAATATCATGTATCACAATCCCCACATGGGTACAATTTGTGAAGCCCATTTCTGGTGGCCCCCGCCGTGATATTGCTGGAAGATTGCTAAAGGCGACGTAAAACCATACTCGGTCAGTCAGCCATGTATCACAATAGGTACACAAAGCTGGCAGTGACAAAAGTTCGGAGAATGTTGCTTCTTTTACTCTTTAATAAGAGTGTCATATAAAAGTAATGTTTAACATTTAGAAAATGTAAATGCATTTTCCACCATTTATGGATTAAATCTCAACATAGCTACATTTGTATTTCCATAACTTGCCATTTTAACATAAATGTGAAAAAGTTGTCAGTTGTAACATTGTAACATTTCTGTTGTCCGAAAGAAAGGTCTACTCAAGTCCTGAGTTATCTGTCCTGCCCAAATTCACCTGTCTGTCTCTGCCCTCCTTTCCATGATATGGAATGAATCTGAGTGGGTAAAATGATCTACGATACGATCTACGATTGAGTCTACGATACAAAACAATTTCAAACCACATTTAACTGGCTTCATTGGCATGTACTGGATAAAAGAGCATGAGTGTGAGAAGCATTCCAATAAGAGCACGAATTGTCATCGCATCTGTGTCTCTCCAGTTTCCTTTCCTAGCTTGGAAAAGTCGCTTCCCTTCAGCATTGGTATGCTGGACTGTGCGACATGGTCACAATCGATGCTTTTCTACAAAGGACCTTAGAGGATGTTGTGTGATTGGGGCCGCGATATTGATGATCAGAACTGTTCCATCTTTACCTTAGTTACATACTGCTCACCGCTTGTGTTGGTAGAAAGAACAGAACACTATCAGAACTGTCACTGCTGTTACTAACACTTTCTTCAGAGGAAGGTTCGAACTCAGAATGTGATCCACTGTCAGAAGGTACTGCATCAGTACCACCACCACCATCATCATCGCGAAAATTGCTTCAATCTCAAACTTGCTCGACGGTTCATCTTTGATAGATATTTGCTTTTCAAAATCAATGGTAATCATTTCCGAATAATTGAATTGAAACTTTTTCACAGCAATCAGTATTGTAATTTCAGGAATACACTGAATACTGAACATTTATATCGAGAAATATAGATTTAGCATACCATCAAAGTGGACTCCGAGGCTCCACTTGATGGGACACGGGTTAAAAATTAATTATACAATGAAAGTATTCATGTGGTGATATTACCAGAACCGCAAATATTATTTAAAAGTTAAATTATTATGTCTGGTAATGATATATCTCAGATTTCATATTTCACTGACCAAGTTATTTATTACCTGAAAACTGAAGGGATACTGTGCAGATTTTTCCACTGTACGTGATAATGAGGTTCTTGAACGCATTAATCAAACACAAAAAACATCTGTCAGTTTGGCTGTACCTCTTTATTGAAAATCCCCTTGTAATGATAGACAGCTTCTCTTCGATCCTCCGATAGGTGTCGCATCGCGCAGCTCAGCCAGATTAGCGCTGAACAAAAGTAAAACCTATCGAAATGTTTCTCCATAATATACAAATTTGTATTCTGTGAAGAAACAACAGATCCATATTTCTATGCTTTCGATGTTGGAGTTTTGTTTCCTTTTACAAAGTGGCTATTGAGTGCGTGAGGTACTACCCCTATCTTTAGGAGGTTTTGTCATCTTTGTAGTCAGGTGGTCGGTCTCTTGACGGACATTTACTTGCTGACATTGAAATGTGTGCAAGTCTCGAGATCCGATGTGCTTCAGCGCGAGTCCAGCTTTCCGTGTTCGAACTTTATTATCCGATACCTATGGGTTTACAAATATATTGCGAGGCCTCTCTGCATTTCAACTTTTTATGGCAAGAGTTTGAGCATCATTGTCACGTCGACTAAAGGATTCCAGTTAGTCCAAGGCATCATCTGTTAAGGCAGAGGTTCAATGACAGTTTCAGTTTCGTCGGAAACGGCATTCGTACACATTATATCATGATTGTTATTATCCGAAGCGCCTGTTTGGATAGTGTTTCTATTTCCTAATACATACCATATTTGGAGCTGACTGCATTTCAAGCATAAAAATTGCTTAATTGACGCAGAGAAGTTGCCCTTTTCTCCCTAAACAAGAGAGAATAATTAGACAAACCTTGGCCAAAACCTAGCGTGGTGACATCACGTGATACCGAGAGGGAGCTGTTTTCTTCTTGAAAATGTTTAACAAAGTTACTTTTATCGAAATGACAGAATACGGCGAACAGTGCAGAACGTTGTAAAACAAGTACCATGAGTACCAGCAAGCCATTCGTTTTCGTGCAAGCCCGATAGGTTGCTTTGTATGTAGTTAGAATTGAGGGTTTGCCCAACCTTTTTAGCAAAAATCATGTGTAAACCCGGGTAACGTATAGCGAGTACTTGACGGATTGATACACGAGCCGGTTTTGGCCTTAAACACCTCAATCCATAACAAAGTTGTTGTCAATACTGATTATTATATGAGTAGTTATGGAGACCCGTGTTCAATATTCAACACATGGGTACAAAGCATGACGCCACTTTCTGGTGTCCCCCCGTCGTGATATTGATGGAATATTACCAAAAGCGGTGTTAATTAAACTCTCCCACTTCAAAACAAAGTGTGAAGGCATAGCATGTTCAAAAATCTCGTGTACACCCTTCAGTGTTACATGACAGCCAGATTTGTTAAACGGGAACTGAAGTGAGTCTATGAAAAGGTGCATCTATATTGACTTTCAGGATATTGGAGTCATGTAAAGATATATAGATCATTTATGTTTCATCGATTTTTATGGTATCTATAAGGGTATCCTGTATATGATCATACAGTTATGTGTGAAAACGCCAATTGGTTCAAGACCATTCATTAAGATCAAACCATAAAAGTGTGAAATAAACAAACACACCTGAAAGTGCTATGAACTTCAGAGTGTAGTAACCCTCGCTGTCTTCCTGTTTTTCATAAATAGTTATGTTGTACTGAGTGACACCAGGTCGGGGTTGTGGAGGATCCCATGTCAGAGTTATCTCGCTTGATGACCTGCTCTGTGCCTTGAAGTTCGTAGTGCTACCAGCGCCTGAAATGCAGACCTTATGTATTTACATGTACTGTAGTATTCAGCAAGTTAACAATATCTTTAAAACCGTAGTTCCTTCCATATTCTGGCATGCAAGGGAATATTTGGGGACACTAGAGACAATGTGAGTGTGAAAATGTGTTCGAGATGAATAATGATATTATCAGGGCATCCTGCAGGTCCAGTTAACATATCCCTTGGGTTCAACATCATACCACAAAAGAAAATACCGAGGAAAAACTACAATACAATTATTTCCTTAAAATTATTGTAACGCAAACAGGACACTTCATCACGTAAAATGAACCCCACTTGTACTTAAATCTACAAGTTTTTAGGAATCATATTGGATTTTTATCGTAAATTATCCATATATTTACTAAGACGAAAATTCTGAAACCAGATAGGCATCTTTACAATGCAAATGGAAATGTTAGTTTTTAATACAAAACATATGTTGAGCTTTAGGAAAGTAATAGCTTTTCAAACCGACAACGCCAGAGAAAAATCACTATCGAACATCGATAAAGCATGAATAGCAAGGTCAGCTACAAGAAAGTTGAAAAGCAGAGTCTGTCTCACCTCATATGGATGATGATGTCCCCATTGATTCATAACCAATATCCAAGTCTTAAATCTATTGCTCAACTAGAATATATATATGTATATGTAAGTCGATAAGTGTAATTTTTACGTTTACGAAAGTTACTTACTTCGGTAAAATATGTAGCTGTGTAACTAATTAAAGTTATACTAGTTCAGGGGAAAAGGTACTTTCTTAAACTATAGGTGGGGCTAGAGCGAACTGTATGTGTTTTTCAGTTCACGACTAACTGACGGGCTCTTCCGGTTACGTGTCTGCACCCCTACATTAAGATGTACATTGCCGTGAAAACAAATGATAAACAGTTTGAAGACGGTTTACGTTCGAGTTAAATATCTTCACAGTATTGTTTTGGTTACGTCTGTGTTTATCGTAAACCATATGGTGCAGCGTGAACGTCGCATTGCTACTACCAACGTAAGTTTAGAACAGTAAATCCTGATGTGAAGTTGATTAGTCCACGACGTTCCACGTGAAAAACCTCATTTGGTTTTTAAATAACATTTAGCGGTCTTAAATCAACGATAAAGGATCGCAAAATTGAAAACAGGGTAGCTTTATCTTCATTCTAGCACGACTGATCAGCATTTTAAAACTGACTCCTTGCCGACAAGGCATGAAAGGGACTTTTCCTGGAAATTGCTTGGAACCTCCAGTTGAAGGACAGGTTGTTTAATGAACAAAATAACACATTTTAAACAACATAATGCTTATTCCAGGAACCACTATTCTTGAATTTGTAACAAATAGCATAAATAGATTACCCAAAGATACAGTTTGTACTGTGAACAAGAACAATTTTGATTATTTTTCTCAAGCGAATCTCCGCTACTGTAGGACAGCCTACTCGCCCCCACTTCAAGCGGTGAATTCGATCAGTTTAGACGCCGCTAACTTTATTCACGGAACTAATTATTGGTAACCACGCTGCTATTCCTAATTTGGAAAAGCCCTTACCTGAATAAGGCCCGGTTGAATTATGGCGGAATACTGTCGCTTTTGCGCTGCTGACGAATTTTCCCGCTTCGAAGTTTATTCAATGGGATTAGGCTCAAGAAATTCTTCTTCAAGCCATTCGCTTTTTACTTCAAAAACATTCAAAGATGCTGCCAAAGTAGAAATCGCCGATGTCCGACATGTTTGTTTACATACAAATGGGTCAACGAGTACATTGTATGCCTACGCGGTCAGTCGGTCGCTTTAATGTACTAGCGGTCCTTAAACTGCCATTTAAATACGGTTGTGATGAGCTCTCAGCCAATCAGAATCCAGTATCACACAATGTCGTGTTAGAATAGTTAATATTATTACAATATTTGTCTCACCTTCCTCGGGTGTGTGTAGATTAATTTGGTCGGTTGTTCCTGGCCCCTCTTCATTAACAGCTACAACGTCTATGGCGTAGGATGTATCTGGGTTCAGGCCTGTTATGTTGTGCTGTATGGCGTGGGCGGTGTTTTCAATGTCAGTCTGGGTTATCACCACAGTCATGGTTGGGTCACATTCGGTCTCCATCTTTGTCTGTGAAAAGACAATACGAACATAGCTTAGATATCAGAGTTTACCTGAGTCCAGGTGTGTTGTCAACGTTGTACTATTTGTTGTATTTGTGTCTATTGCAGTGTTTGATCCACGCAGAATGGTCAAGATAACATCATTAATAGACATGCACTTGCTTTTCACACTTGACTGTTACTTGAGGGGATGTCAGTCAGGAAGCATCACTTCTTAACCTTCAGAAAAGGAGGGGGTGTATATTCACCCCAGAGACCGTTCTACAAATATTTGTATTATCTTTAGGCTCAGGTCCTTAGTATATAAACTATGAATGAACAGACAGTTCGATATAGCATACTTACAAAGTTTGCCATTTCTCTGATACATTCAGTGCAGTTGATGATGACCCGTTTCACACACACTGAGGGACTACCCGTCCTCACGTCGACAATGTATTCATGGGTCTGCCCGTTCGGGTTGACTGGTCTGCTCCATTCCACAGCAACAGAGCGGGGCGTGTTGTCAAACGACTTCAGATTGGTAACTATTCCGGCAGCTGAAGACACAATAACTTGTGAACACTAGAGATCTTGTAGTATTCCAAACCTATAAGGCAGACTATTTTTTGACGGGAATTCAGTTTCAAATTCTAAATTTATTTTTGGCGTCTATAAACGCGGCTGATGCTGTTTAAAGATTTGTATAAAGAAAACAATATCTCATATGAGATGCAGAAGAATACCTCTGTATTATTAAATGTGTATTCTGAAATAGAAGTTCCTTTTTTATGTAACCTGCATGAAATTGCTAAAGAATTGAAATACATACACGTGCTAAACGTTTAAACAGACTGACATAGGTGGACAATGGCATAATGATTGATAAATAATCAACTTGTACTTGCTATCTTATAATATTCTAAAATATAAGCTGGACTATTTACGATGTAAATATGTTTCAATTTCCAAAGTTGTTATTGGCGTCAATAAACGTAGATCAAAATTTGCTTGACGAAAATGGCTCTCTCACACGACACAGACCAGTGTCCGTATATTATCATAATGTTTGTTCTTAAAAGAGAGTTTCTGTTTTGCACATAACACACATGAAATCACTAAGGCATTGATATATACTATGTGCCAAAAGTTTGAAAAGTCATATGAGGTGAACGACGGGTGAATGATTATTAAGTGTTATTTGTATCCGGTCCTGACAACGTTTGACTGGCCGGAGAAGAAACAGAAAGTTATTCCTCTCTTGGGGAAAGAGTTAACATTTCTCAAATTAGAAAACCAAATAATATGGATTCATATACATTGATGAGTTTAAGAAAACATCCCATACACACTGCTATTTATTCCCTTATTTCTTTTAATTATTTATGCATTTTGAAAATTCAGTTTTTATTTATGTGAACATTCCAAATATCAGTTGTTTATCAGCAAATTGTTGAATGTAAATAAAGCTATCATGACTTTGGGTTTTACCATTGTGCAATTGTATAAAATACCTGATTTGGTATGTGTGTTGCATGAAACACAACCTCTTTTCTGTAGGAGCGGGTAAGGGGCTAGGACAACAGATTCAGTTTCATGGAAACCAGGTTATAAGCTGGGAGCTAGGTTGGAAACAACAATAAACTAAGCACAAGCAGGAGCCTCCATGAACGAGTGGGCAAAGTCCCGACATGGATACTATCCAGATACTGGTGCAAAATGTAGTTTCAGTTTTAATGGAAACTAGGTTACAACTTGAAAACTAGGTTGAAACCTACAACTAACTAAAACATGGAAACCAGGTTGAAACCTACAACAAACTAAAACATGGAAACCAGGTTGAAACCTACAATAAACGGAAACATGGAAACCAGGTTGAAACCTACAATAAACGAAAAAACGGAAGCCAGGTTGAAACCTACAATAAACGAAAACACGGAAACCAGGTTGAAACCTACAATAAACGAAAACACGGAAAACAGCTGGATCCAGCTTGGAGGAGTGGGTAATGAATCGCACTGGAAACCAGCCGGAAATGGTGCAAAATTCAGTTTCAGTTTTCATGGAAACCACAATGAAACAATAGGAAACTACATGGAAACCAACTGGAAATGGTGGTTTCCATGTCGTTTCTTCTCAGTTTCAGTGTTCAGGAAACCAACTTTTTTTTGTAGTGGTATATGATGCTTTTACAACACGGACAATTATACTATATTAGTATGCCATGTACACAAACTATTCGGGTCAGTTATAGTTCAATAACATACGGTTCAACATCTATGTACAGTTCTATTTACATCATTCACAGATTCTAAATGTTGAGGGTTTTACAGTACTCACGAGTTGACACAGCTCGTATCACAGCGGTATAGGGTACACTCTGGAGGTTCCCACTCTGTGTTAGTATGTTCAGGTTGTACGATACAGCTGCGACAACACCAGTGAAGACGACAGAGATTAGACCCTGTCCAGTGTTGACAGGTTGACGTTGTTGGATGTATGTATCTCCATCCAGTCCTCTGAGCGTCACAATGTACATGGTGGCATCCCCTGCAGCCTTCACGAAGACAATGGTAATGTTGGGAGCGGTCAAGTTGGTTTGGGTCATGTCCAGGCCCGTGACAGAAGCCGGCGCTGAAATGGTGGTACCAATGTGATATCATTGTGGCAGTATTCTTGCGATAACATTTATCTCATCAGTAGCTTTATGGTACATAACAGACGAAAAATGCATGTCCCAAACAGATCAAGATGTATGTGGATCTTGATATAACGATACAATATGTTCTATGATCAGTTAATCATGCTTTATATCACGCACGTATCACAAACACTTCAGAACAATCTTTCCGTAACCCATACTCTCTACTCTCCACCACGAGTTTAACACCCAGCCGCTCACTACAGGTCTATATAATCCATATGTTTACCGATCAGCGCGTAAAATCCCGTCCGCCTGTTGGAGACCCCAACATTCACAACAAGTGACAAGTGACGAAACGATTAATTTCAGTAAATTATATTTCCTTGATATGTGCATTCATCATGTGACCGCCATCGGTGCAACTCAAATGCAGACAGGATTGTGACGTGACATGCAAGCGACGTTAAATAAAAACGTATTACATGACATTCGTACAAAACGGCTATCAGATGATAATATATTTTACACGACTTTAACGAGTAAAGCATTGTTTTCGGTATAGCTGTTTCAGGGTCCCCACATACTCATATTACAGGTCCATCTAGAAATGATTTCAGTAGTCCATGGATGTGATACAAGGTTATATTTAGTTTTAAAGGAATAAATTTCCATTAAAAATACATAGTCATGCCGGTAAGACACCAGGCTCATGATAAAATTGTATCAACATACATTTTGATTGTCCTGATTTTCGTTATAAAAACAAACTGGCACGTATGCTCATGTTTTGTCCTACTTAGACGTAAACATGCTCCCGTTCAAATGCACAAACACAATTATCTGGTCCTCATTATAAAATATTCAATCTAAGTACTTAGAACAGGTGGGTGTATTTTTCGCAATGTGTTTTGGCATGGCGTAAAATATGAAAGTAAGCAGTCCTCAGCTTGGGCATATTCCTTATATCAATTAACGAGAGAAGTAATATTTCCAACTTCCATACCGGTACCCGGTCACGGTGTTCGCTGATATATATTTTTTCTCCCTCATGAAGAATAAACGAATGTCTTTATTTCCTCCAGATAAGTCCTCAAAATATGTTTATGTAATTTCATAATTAAGTAACAAAATACTCATCAGACACTCACGCACGTATAGGTACTTATGATAACATTTTCCCAAGTATATACAGGCTATACACTGTGAGAGATATTGGTAAAATTATTACCACATGCTATGAACAATATCCTTTAGTTTATACGGATACTTTGAGAATTCTGCAATCCCATGTTATTTCATCAATATCGTGGTTATCGGCCCCAGGAAAGAATGCAAGCATGTCATGCTAGTCCATTATCTCTATTCTAATATACATTTCAACATCAAAATTACCCATTCGAACTGAAAAGAATATATCTCTCTCTGAAAGTACATATTAGTTCACTGTTGAGGATGACATGGTGATGGTAAACATTAAAGTACTGTCGGAAATAGAAACAAACCTGTTTTTAGGCTATTACTCTGTATCCCTAAAATTTATACAACTGCAAATAGCATATGTCGAAAAAACCCACTTCGGCCTAACTTGGCATTCAGTGGGATGCGTAATAGGATATCCAGAAAAGCATGTTTACTCGTAAAATCGGGCAAATAGCTGCTGAAAACAGCAGATCAGACTATAGGTGGCAATTAGGTCGCTCAGCCAGGTATGACGACGGACCGTCGACTCACCTGGCATGCTGCCGACAGGCACAAGGGGTCATCTCAAAGATATTTTGTGCTTTTTCATGTGTGTTGACTATGTCTCATCTATTGATTAACATCTTACGTGTCTTTCTTTCATAAAGTTTATGTTGAGATATGTAAAAACAGTATGATACCTGATAACCATAGAAACCCATCGTATTAAATGTCTCAAAATTATATAGGTGGCATGACCACCCGATCGCGAAGATCGACAGGACTGGATATTAATTGTAAATTTTTATGACATGCCGTGTACTTCCCCAGTATAATTGCCCTAAAGGATTATCTTATCTTAGCTGATATCTCTATCCTCCAGCCCGACCCCAACGATCGTCTGCGACACCCGTCCAGGTTTTGCTTTTGAGACGAACCCTCCTATCTGTTTCTTGCTATATAGTGACAGTGAGGCTCCATGGTAGCTACATCCTTAATAGTTTCAGCATGAAAGTTATTACTTTTACGCCAGCTATCGTTTATAATGAAGCTACGTCTAATTTCAAACTGGCCATTTAAAAAGTGTCCTTTGTAATACAATATCGTCGCACATTAATTTGCATAAAGCCATGGTCTGTTCCAAATAAATCGTTTTGGACTGTAGTAGACCGAACTTAGTTTAACAGCTATTTAACATTTGCACATATCAACTACATAAATTGTAGAGATAAATGAGAAAATACAGTTTTTATCTATTTCCGACAGTACTTTAGCAAAGGTATTACATTTTGTACATTCTTTTGTTAATTTGCTCCCGGATCCAATCCTTATTACATACTGCAATTCTTCTCTCAATTCTGGATATAACATTGCCATGCTGTATAACACATGAGGTGTAAGTGCTGTATGGATTTTAAAATACAGAGACAGGTCAGCTCTGCAAAATATGTTTCCATTCTTCTTCCTGGTGGGTACATATTTCATTTACAAAATCTTTCTCCTTTCATCCTGTGCAGATGTAGTGACATACACGACAAAGCAGCTTATATTCCTTAGCTGTTGATAGCAGCATTCCAGATAAACTCTTTAAGTTATTGTTATTAGAAAAACAGAGTGAGTGAGTTTATTTTTGACCCCGCACTCAGCACAATTCAAGCTATATGGCGGCGGTCTGTAAATAATCGAGTCTGGACCAGACAATCCAGTGATCAACAGCATGAGCATCAATCTGCGAAATTGGAACCGATGACATGTGTCAACCAAGTCAGCGAGCCTCACTACCCGATCAAGTTAGTCGCCTCTTACGACAAGTATGGGTTACTGAAGATTCATTCTAACCCGGACCTTCACGGGTCGGAAAAACAGAGTGACGCAAACACAGAAAATAGCTTAAAATATTGGGGCACATTAGATGTTACAGAGACGCCTATTATTGTCTTGCATTGACGTTATATGTAATATGTAGAGAATCTCCCCCAAGTGTCTTCTGATATCAAATATATACTGAGTCAAAAAAGAAACTTCACATTCTTTCTTCAGGGCACTATAAAAGAACAAGAGATGGTAAGATGGTTAAATTGTTATTATTTCATTGCTGAGATCTGTGTGATGTACTCGATACACTGACAGTGCCATAATCAGTTCCATTAGGCTACACCGCCGTTCCAAAACATGGGTATTCAGAATGTCAAGTCACAAGAATAAAAATGACAAATTTCTCAGTTCAATATCGTGTATGGCCGCCCCGCGCATTCACCACTGCCAAACGACGTCTCCTCATCGACTGCCTGATGCTTGTGAACACGTGGTTGGGGATTCTGCGCCATTGCTCTTGCAAGGCAGCGCCAAGTTCCTGCAAATTCTGAGGTTGGTTTCTAAGACCACGAAGCCTTCTCCCAAGTGCATCCCAAACGTGCTCTATTGGATTAAGGTCAGGGGACCTCGATGGCCAGTCCATGACGTTGATTCCAGCGTTTTGAAGGAAATTTCGTGTCAACATCGCTTTATGCGGCCGAGCATTATCATGCTGGAACTGTAGACCTGGGCCATGAGCCGCCATGAAAGGAACGAGTTCAGGGGTGAGCACCTGGTGCTGTGAGGTTTCCACGGATGACCAGAAGTCGGGAACGGTTGTTCCCACAGAAAGCACCCCACACCATGCAACTTCCGCCCCCGAATCTGTCGACTTCCTGTACACAATATTGGGCATACCGTTCACGACGTCGTCTCCAGACTCTATGCCTGCCGTCCGCGAATCTGAGGGTAAACCTGGATTCATCGCTAAAGACGACTCGATTCCGGTCTCTCTGGGTCCATCGGAGGTGACGTTGGGCCCACAGCAGACGTTGACGTTGATGAAACGGCGTCAATATTGGCCCACGATATGGACGTCGAGAATTGAGATTGGCAGCCCGCAACCGATTTCGAATGGTTTGTGAGGACAGTCGACCTCTAAACATCTCAGCCCTGGTTCGTGTAGCCGGCAGAAACCTGTCACGTAGGTGACGTAGGACGATTTGACGGTCTTCTGCTCGTGACGTCACACGTGGACGACCCGACCTTGGGCGATCAGAAGTGGTGCCAGTTTGTTGTAGACGACCTCGCAAGTCATACACAGTACGACGGCTGCATCCCATTGTTCTTGCGACGTCAATAACTGATCTTCCCGCTTGCAACATGCCAACGGCACGTTCACGTTGCACATTAATATTTGACAATCGTGACATTTCAAGTACCGTTAGAACTGTGGTTTAAAAATGTTTTTTCAATTCATGAGGCCAATGCAAACACGTGCATATGAAGAAAACTTCGATTCGAAGATCACGTGATCGACTGCACGTGTAAAACCTGATTTGACACTAACATCATTTGCACGACGAATGGATGGGTTTGAGTGGGTTTTGCTAACGTTTTTCTAGAGTCGAAAGAAAGGTATCCCATTTCGGATACATAGATGTATCATCAGAGAAAAATTATTCATTATTTTTCGAATTTCATTTTGTGAAGTTTCTTTTTGACTCAGTATATATCAGCACGAGTTCATTAAAGGTATAAATATCCGAGGCTTGTCGAGGATACTTTTACTTTAATCAACAAGTGTTGATATATTTGATATCAGAAGACACGAGGGTGAGATTTTATTTATCTCCCAAAATCATTCTTCATCAGTAATCAGTAAAAGCATGAATTTATCTGAACACAAAACTGCCAATAGGCGTCTTGAGCAGTGATCTCAGAGAGGTCATAGCATTGTGACGTCATCAGCTTTATGACATGATAGCATTGTGGTGACATCAACTTCGTAACGTCATAGCATTGTCAGCTATGTTCTTAGTGATGTCAAATCATTGTGAGGCCATTAACTGATGTAATAGCAGTATGACAATTCACTTGTTGCTATATCTACAATGTAGTTATCGCTTGATCTCACACAAGCGAATCTACTGTGGGAGCCAGTTTTGGATGATAGATTCGGGGTTACATTTATATCTTTGCACACAGTCAACAGGTCAGTTGGCACAAGGTAAATTAAATATACCCTATATCTTTTTATGTACCTATAGTTTCCTTTTTCCTTTCAGTAATTTACATTTGGTATCTTTCCCACTTTGTGAGAAGAAAATCCGTCATGTGGTTAAGATCGGGCTGAGATATGTTTTGTATCAGTCAAAGCTTATATACACGCTTTGTAATTGTAATGCCTTCCTCGTAAAGACACTTTCATACTTGTGCCAGATTCACGCCACAACATGCAGTGGGCTTTTTGAAATGACTCCAAATAAGAACAATAGGATTGTGTTTTGAGATCATTGCTTGACAGTTAATGTGGTACTTTCAATTTGTTGTTTGCTTCACATACATACATACATACATACATACATACATACATACATACATACATACATACATACATACATACATACATACATACATACATACATACATACATACATACATACATACATACATACATACATACATACATACATACATACATACATACATACATAATTAACGTCATCGTTGTCAACCACTGCAATTGAACAGAAAAACTTCTAAGTGCCCTGTACATACTTGTTTGCTTTGGTGATGCAGATAGAGCATCAGTCATCTCATTTCGTCCTTGCAGGTAGGTAATATTTGTCTTCACGTTCACAGTGTATACTCTCCCCGGTATCAGACCTGTGATGGGCTTGGTCCTGCTGTCTTTGTCGACACTGATTGGAGTAATGTCCCCTGGTATAACCGCCACCTCGTACCCGGTAACGACGGCGTTAGAAGGAGCTGTCCATGTTGCTGTCATGGTGGTTGTGCTTTGTGCGACTGCCGTCACAGTGGTAGGACGAAGTTGGTTGACTGAATTGATATGAACAGGAACGGAACCCATCAATACAGGAAAATATCTTTCATGAACAGGAACTTGATGGATTTCATCACTGTAGATTCAGTAGGGAAGACCGTCAGACAAGCATGCATGTTTTCAGAATTATCACACGTAGTTATGAAGGTGGGAGATTTCATACATGATAGACCATATTTAATATAAAGTATACCATTCTCATCAGCATCGGTAACAATCCTTTGACCCATTTCCTACAGATAATATATACTTGTGTAATTGAGACAATCAAACAAATTGTGTAGCTGTGACAATTAAGCAAAATAAGTTAGTGACGTTTTACAAATATATCTAATTTTGGATATGTCTCTGATATCATGGGATTTCCACAACAAAAAGTCGCCATTACGCAATTCGGTCATTGTGAGGGTTTAAATTTATTCAAACGACATTAGTATTTCAGACTGACGGTTCGTCTGGAGTCGTGGTTATCACTTTGCGTGGTTTTCATATCATTTACTTTCAGATGTTCAGACGGAGGTCAGTTGAACAGGGTACATCCATATATAACTAGTTCATGTTCATGTACGTACAGATAATTGCAATGTAGGTTGATGTAAGTACTGACTGACATTGCTTGCTGTTCGACTAAGAGAAAAACTTCCGATTATGTGCAATAAAATGACATCACCGGCTGACATCCACATTTTGGCGCCATGACGCTAAAGGTTTTGAAGAATAAACATGAACAATAATAACTTATCCACAGGTCAACATGACCACAGGTACACCACCCCATGACACTGGAATGATCGTGGACAATGCATGTATCTTAACTAGCTGCATATTGCCGGTGCATTATACATGTATACTCTTATAAGATTCGGTCAGGATACCACTCTGAGGAATTAGAAATGAGCCAGTCACAATCCAAACTTCACGTGGAAGGTAAGATAGACATCCATATTAACCACTTACTGCTGACACAGGTTGTAGTTCGGTAGAATCTCGGATCACAGCGACATGTACCGTTGTGACAGTTGGCATTGGCATCGTAACACAAATTAGGTTGTGTGCAGGGTTCGTTGTAGCCAATCCCTAAAAGCAATGATTACGGTTCAAGTATACAGAGATAGCCCATAATATGTCGCACGTGTGATAACATGAAAGAGAAGATAATCTGGTTTTTGTGAACATTCGTTCAACATGTGATATTGGTGAATGTATATATCTGAGTATCAATATTTCTGGAAGACAAAGGACTCAAGATGTTTGTGAAACCAATACGTAGTCTGTCTAAATATTGAAAAATCAGTTCTTAAGGTTTATAAGTACCCACATATATGTACACATTCAAACCTACATCCGATTTATTGTCTATTAATACTTGATTTATCCCACGTGTTTGTTGCATATAAAGGTTTTCTAACAACATGACATTATACCATGGCTGAAGTTGACACAATATCCAGATGTAGTATAGGCAGCTAATAGTTTGAGCATATACTCAAGTTGATGTCCATAATTTCCTTATTGTGTCTTGAACCACACTACCGTGTTTGTTCAGGCGAATTACAGTCCGTTTGGCTCAAAAGCGGACCAGTAAATTGAAATCTAACTCGAAAACTAATAAACACATAATACTCAATGAAACACTGATCATAATAACATAATAACATCAGACCAACTGGTTTTTTGCAGAATTTATGCCCTAAAAATAAAAAAGTTGTTCAACAAACTATCATTAAAATATTGACACAGCTCACTTTGTGTAACGAGGGAGGAGTGCAAAGAGAGGAACAGCCAGGTGTTAGGGCATATAATCTGCAAAAAAACTTAAAAGAGACATTTCAAATGATATACTCTGTTTTAACAGAGTAATGCTGCATGTTCCATTAAGACTGGAATGACTTTTCACAAATTGATTGTCATAAGCAATATTCCGGAAATCATAAAGGTTTTATATTGAGTTTTAACTATAAATGACTCACCACTGTCAAGTTCCGAATACGAGACGTGAGTCAAACCATTCCGTCTGAGTTCACTGCCAACGTACGAGATTTCATTTACAGGTTTTGAGTTTTTCTGGTATGGGATAGAGCACATTCAAGTCTTGAAGTAATAAACATAATATGGAATCATGTTGTGACAATAATGACTGGGGAAAGGTGTAACGTAGGTACTTGTTGTAAATGTCTTTGGATCCGAGGTAATCGTCTGACTCCTGCCGTGATTTGTGATGGTGTGTCTAACTGTGATAGTGTATGCTGTTCCTGGAGACAGGGGCTGGATGTTGTAGCTCTTCTGGGTTATCCCAGCAGATGTTGAAGATCCTGAAGATCCTGGAGATCCTGGAGACCACGTTACTGTATAGCTGGATGTGTACCCTCCAGTGGCATCGATATTGGTCCAGCTGATGTAAATATTACCTGTTCCTGCAGATGGTGTATCTGTGATGTCTGGTTTTAGTGGGCTAGCTGAAAATATACATGTTCACATCAACAGCAGAAATCCAAATACTATCATTGCCGACATTCACTTAAAGCGTCAACAGTGGTATGTATGATAAATGCATGCTCAGTCTCCTGATATATCGGTCCTGTCACATCTATTACTCCAGCGACATCGGTATTGGTTCAGCTGATGGCAATATTACCTGTGCCTATAGTCGGTGTACCTGTGATGACTGGTTTTAGAACGCTTGCTGAAAGTATGCATATTAACATTGATAAGGGAAAGCGAACACTTAACATCGGGGATAATTATCATCTGCAAGATTATTGACTATAAAGGATTATATATGTATGTCTTAGGATAGTGACGAAAAAACCCCAAAAACATATTTATGAACATCAGTATTCATGAATTTTCTGAATTTTAGAAAAGAGGCAAGCTATTTTATTGACGAAGGCTTCTTTATTAGGTTATAATGCGACGTTTGGTACAAATCATCATACCGTTGTCAGGCAAAAGTAAAGTGCTTCAGCACAGCACAAACCTATATACATCCAATAAGGATTTACAAAGACAACGTAAGGGTATGCATGGATGGGATAAACAGCAACAACAACAATGGGTATTTGTGATTAAATATAGTAAAAACTGGAAGAATCAAACAACGTCAACCAGACCAGGATGTAACAGAGCTAAGACCTGGTTCGGACGTCAGTGTAAGATCTGTAGGGGACGGTATAATCAGGCAAAAACTATTTTGAACAAAAACAAAGTTTACAAATCAAAACGCATCTTGAAAACTACGGAAGCGTAGTAGGGCCACGGTGAAAAATTTTTGGTCTCACTATCTCATACGTAGGACTTAATATCTCCCACGTAGGGCATAATATCTCCTACGTAGTACTTAATATCTCCTACGTAGGACTTAGTATCTCCTACGTAGGACATACAATCTCTTTAATATCTCCTACATAGAAGATGATTATTATGTATTAATATTTGTGTATATACACAACTAATGTTCCATGAGGTGAAAGGGAAATTGAAAAGAATCCTGCAGTTGTGTTGATGGGTCACACGTAATTATTAAATCGAGCAACCACGTCATGATGATAATAAATTTTTCCATTTTGTTAATATTACTTTTATGTCTACTTAGAGGCTAGTAATCGTTAATCGGGGTACTGAGTGGCGCTTATCGTTTGACATGATCGAGAGAGAGAGAGAGAGAGAGAGAGAGAGAGAGAGAGAGAGAGAGAGAGAGAGAGAGAGAGAGAGAGAGAGAGAGAGAGAGAGAGAGAGAGAGAGAGAGAGAGAGAGAGAGAGAGAGAGAGAGAGGGATGATATAAATCAACTCTGGTAATAGCACATTCTCCGCAAGTTGTTGTTGTCTTCAGATGGAGTTAGGTTGGATCGGATACAACGCTTATTGTTGGCGATTTGTTTTTCGTGATTGTTTACAGGTTGACTTGACTGGGTGGAGAAGTGTTGAGTGCGGCGTAAAACAGTACGAAATTCAAAAAGGCAAAGAATTGTCATTGTAGTTATTTGTAAACCGCTGTAACACAAAAGACATATATTGGCCAATGTTCATTATCTTATCTCACACATAAATGTCGTTTTCTGATTGGCTGAGCCAGACAATGTACCCCACTTACAAGAGAGTAACAATTTCTATGTTACCCGCTGGAAATGCAGGACTGTGGGAATTCGTTTGGTACTTCGTGTTTGTAGTGTTTGGGCTGTTGCCTAACTCCAGTACTCTTTATTATGATCCAATACCCGTGCTTCAAACAGTTCAAAGTTAACATTGAAGTGTTCGGTAAGATAAATACGTTGTTCATTGCTGATGGGTTGGCCCATTTGTTTATTTTTCCTTCGGGCTCAGGGAACATAAACAAACATAGAGGGTACATCAACCCATGTGCCCCTCGTGACCAGTGAACAACGTATAATGTAACTCGCATTAAAAATGTCGCATAGCCTATCGAAAGGATCCAAGCACAGGTTACTGGGGTCTAGTTCTAAGACAGAATCCCCATCATGTGTAATGCCACAAACTCGACAAGCTGTAATATTTATTCACAAGAAGATGGTAACGTTGTCTTTTATCTTGGAGGAAGGTCAGGGAAAATATTGCTGACAAACAATTTCTGTGTCGACTTAGCTACCACACTCGACCGGCTTCTGAATCATGGGAATAACCATGCATAGATTGCCACCGATAGTCTAACACAGATCTGTGCACGCAGATTATGACCTATGTGCAACGACCTCTGAAATATTCAAACCATAACAGTAAAGTGTAACAAAGTGCAACACATAACAGTGAACTACTGACTGCAATGCGTAATAGTTAAGCATACTGTGCGCAAGGCAGTAAAATATTATACAGTCGGTCCAACACATGACAATAATGTGCAACAATTAGTTCAACACATGACAGTAATGTGCAGCAATTAGTACAACTCTAATAGTGAATGAAACACAGGACTGTATACTCTAACTGTGGTTGAAACAGCGAAATGGGATTGTGTCTGGGGATATAAGTCGACCATTTCAAATGAATGTATATTAATACATATTGCTCATCTCCTACGTAGGAGATATTGTATGTCCTACGTAGGAGATACTAAGTCCTACGTAAGAGATATTAAGTATTACGTAGGAGATAGTATGTCCTACGTCGGGGATACTATGTCCTACGTAGGACTTAACTCCTACGTAGGAGATACTAAGTCCTACGTAGGAGATACTAAGTTCTAAGTCTTAGGTAGGAGATACTAAGTCTTACGTCGGAAATACTAAGTCCTACGTAGGAGATACTAAGTCCTACGTTGGAAATACTAAGTCCTACGTAGGAGATACTAAGTCCTTCGTAAGAGATAATGAGACTAAATCATTTTCCACCGTGGCCCAACTACGCTTCCGTAAAAAACAGTAGCAAAAAATAAAAAGTCCATCGAACATTTTATAAAAGACGCCGTTTTAACATGCAAATGATATTGCATAAAAGCGATTCACGCTCATTTTGGAAAATGTTACGTGAGAAAGATATTGACGCAGATTTGCACCTTATCAATAATGCTTTTGAATATATATAGAAATTAAATGCTGAAAAGGCAAATCATATCGATCGATGATCCCTTTGATCTTAGCACTAATTTTGACATAAATGATTGTAATGACATTCTGAACATTGATTTACGTGAACATGAAATTGTACGTGCCATACGACTGCTAAGAAATAGTAAGGCATGCGACCGGGAAAACACTATTGATGAATACATGTATATTAAATCTTCTGTGCCAGCTTTTTAACCTTTTTATGTTAGAGTATGAATCTAATATTTGATACTGGGATTTTTCCCAAACAATGATTGAATGGTATTAACCGCCCTGTCTACAAAGGAAAAGGAAATACAGATGACCCTTGACATTTCCAACCCAGAAGTATTATAAGTTACTGTGGAAAATTATTCACTTCAGTTCTCAACGAAAGATTAAACGAATTTGTTGAAGTAATAATATTTTATCAGAATCACGAGCTGGTTGTAGGCACGGCTACTCCACGAATGACAATATTTTTAGCCTTTATGCTATTATTGATTCACTTAAAAAGAGAAACCTAAAATGTATTGTGGTTTTACTGATTTTCAGAATTCAAAGCTTTTGACAATGTTTGGCGCATAAATTTATGGAAAAAATTCTCAGCACAAAGTACTGATGGCAACTCAATCGAACTATAGTTGACATGCGCGAAACATCAATACAAGTTTTGGCAGTACAAAATGAGATACGAGTGAACAGATGCTATTAAATGGCTCGTCGAACATGTCAATTATTATAAATATTTTGGTATTCTAAACAATAATTCTTTAAAAACCTCTATTAAAGAATCTGCCAATCAGTCAATGTATTTCGTGCTACTTATAAGTCGAATCTTTAATCTGTCAATAAAATATCAGTTATATCCCTTTGATGCAATGGCTATTCTGATATATGGCTTGGGTTTTGAAAACTAGAACTATAAGGCTACTGAATCTGTTCATGTTAACTTTTACGCAAATAACTCCCCGAAAAGAGAAGCACGCCATTATGCATGCTATATGGAGAACTTGGAATGGTACTGCTTATTAACTCTATCAAATGTCGTATGGTATGATTTAGGGATAAACTCCTCTATGGTAAAGGACTAATTTATAAAGCTGTTAAGAATTTTGTCATCCTGTGTATGAATTCCTGTATATTTGTACCTCTTATGCCGATTATCCCGGCCTGAGCATACTAAAAGTGCTGTTCTTTGAACATGTACATGCCTTTGGTCCTAAAACGTGATCACCTGCACCTACATTGGAATGAAAGCACACAGACATTTCTATAACGGAAAACGCATCAAAATATCATATAGAAAGAACCCAATATGCCACGACTCATCAGGTTTAGACTCGATTATTTACAGACCGCCGCAATATGGCTGAAATATTGCTGAGTGCGTCGTAAAACTAAACTCACTCACTCATCAGGAACGTGAGCATTTCAAGGGTTGTCTAAATGCTGTACAATCAGATACAGCAGGTGCACGAATAGAACAGAACAGAACCTTTATTACTTTCCGGGGACTATACTGTACATATAATGTACAGTATATAGAGGATACTAAACGACCTTCCGTGTAATACTTCTGCAAATCTTTCACGAGTTAAATAAAAATGGTATTTCACAGAAGCGAGTTTAGTATTCTGTCTATTACTCTCCAACATAAATTGATAGGAACTACCTACAGTGTGAGGACTCTCAGCTTTCCGCAGGTCAAGCAGGGTTTAATACCATTGTGACAGAGGTATTAGTATTCTGACGTCATAACTGTAAACCATTAGTACGTCATACCTATAGCGGTATTACACTACTGTAATATTGCCGTAAAAATATTACACAGCAGTATCTTCCACGGGCGAGTAATAAACAATATTATTAAACAAATGTACATGCTGGTAGGACATTTTGCTATATTAATGTACAT